GGAAACTAGATGATTGGACACCAAGTATGGAAGGAAGATGTTTTATTTCTTTATCATTATTTTATCATTTTTATTTTAAAAATACCTGCTAGCCTTGAGCTCCTAGGCTCAAGTGATCCTCTTTCTTCAGCCCCATAAATGGCTGGGCTAGCAGGCATGTGCCACCCACCTAGTTCCTATTGATGGATTGAGATGAGGTCTTGATATGTAGCCCTGACTGGCCTAGAACTCTGTGTGGACCAGTTAGTGTCAAATTCATAGAGATTAAAGGCCTGCACCATACCTGGCCCCTTTTAACCATTTTGCATATCCTTATTTGCACAAATATGTTCTTCACACAATATTTTGTTTGTGTTTTGGTTTTTGAGACAGGGTCTCTCAATGTAGTCCTGGCTTTCCTGGAACTCACTATGTAGATCTGGCTGGCATCGAATTCATGGAGATTCAGCAGCCTGAGTGCTAGGATTAAAGGTACACACTACCTGCCTAGCTTCTTCATGAAGTTTTTAAAGCCCTTGATGTCATGTACTTAATGCTCACAGGTCTTCTCAGAATTCGAGCTTGGTTGAGAGTGATGTAGTCTTCCCAGAGTTTCTTATTTCTTTATCTTCACTGTCATCAGCAGAGCATCTATGAACTGGAGTTCAGTCTGTAGCACCCACTGAGGACTCCCTAGTGCTCTGTTTCATGTGTCTGCTGTAATAGTTACCTCCTCATCAGCACTGTCCACTAGAACTTTCTGTGGTGGTAGGAATGTCTGTCCGTGTGATCAGCAGGCAACCACAAACTGTTTGTGACTGTTGAGCATTAGAAAAGTGGCTAATGTAACTAGGGGACCGACTTTCCATTTTGGTTACACACTTAATGAAATGTTAACTAGTTACATGTTTAGAGGCTGCCATATTAGACGTGGAGCTTTGAAAGGGAATGCATTGGGTTCTGAGGGAGATGATTTCCAGCCCCTCTGGGATGGCCAAGCTTCACGTTTCATATGGCAGCAGGATCCTGCTCCACAGGAAGACCATGGTGGTTTGAGACCACTAGAAGAAGGTCTGCCTGCCTGGTATTTTCAGCATCTCATTTTGTAGCCTTGATGCTTCTGAATTCCTTTCATGTTTTCTCCTTTTCCTCTTTGTTTCGTTTTAAAACAAAGTTGTAGGTCTCACTATGTAGTGCAGGCTGTCCCTCAATTCTTAGTGCTTCCAATTCTAGCCCCTGGCTCTGGGGTCACATGTATGACCATCATGCTTGGCTTTTCTGAATTTTTTCTAAGTTCTTGAGGTTGTTTCCCTGAGAATAGTACCGAGTTCCTCCCCTCCCCTGGCTGGAAAGGAGTGCTTCCTGGAATCTGTCCTGACGGATACGGTTTACTCTCTCAGGACATCTCCATCCACCATCCCTCTCCAGTCCCACACCCATCTTCCAGCTTTAATGTTGCCTGGGAATAGCAACTAGAACAAAACTCACCCCTTCCTTTGCTGTCTCTTAACTCTGAGGATTTGGAGTTACCTTCCTTTCTTCCATTGACAGGCCTAACAGAAACTGGGACATAAACTCCCAGAGGTGACTCTGGGACTATGGCCTGGTGCCCATTAACAGGGGTGCGGATTGGAATCTTGAGTCTTCCTTCGTATCTCTATCTGTTGGTCCATCCTCTCATGTACCTCACCTTCTGAAATCTGCAGCTTCTATGCCTGGGGGATGAGCCTGTAGAGACTGAGGGTGAAGAGCGTGGACAGACTGACTCAAGACCACCTTCATCCCATTTGGCAGGATAGCCGAGGGTCCCAGGTCCTCACTTGGCTGTACTCCCGAGGGCTCTGGCTTTGCATGGGCCACTCAGCCGCTGTGTCTCAGCTTCCTGTTCTTTTCAGGTTAGCTCAGACGCTCATCCCTTTTGGCTCTTTCCTGTCCTTCAAAGGCTTGCCCAGTGGCTGGTAAGCAGCAGTGCTGTTGTAAGGTCGGTCTTACTTAGGAAGGGTGATGTTCCTGTTGTCCCTGTGTTAAAGAAGGGATGCCAGGCAGCAGGTGCTAGACCCTAGTCCTGTTAAGAGGGGGTACACTCAGGAGACCCCATACTTGCCTCTCACACTGAATAAGGGCTGCTGCTGTGGGTGTTTCCTGGTCATCCACATGTGAGCCCCGGTGTCTGTGCAGCAGGAAGTGTGACTTTGCGCCTGCCTGCTTTATAACAGGGCTCCCCATGCCAAATGGACTATAGCAGTGTCATCACATAAATGTCCCCACTTCACTGTGAGTAACCTCTTTTCCCTCTCTGGAGTTTAACTCTGATCCCCTGCCCTTTAACAAACAAGCATTGTAGTCCAATGTGAGGCTGTGCATAGACACTGTCTCATTATCCAGTTAATCCACTGTACTGTCACATATTTAGCCAACGGGGGCATTTGCCTGACTGTAATTTAAAAGCGCCCCCCCCCATGTGTTTTCATTGTCACTTACAGGAATTGCTGAATGACTCATTATGTCATGGTCAGCCCTCTTGAGCTCTTTGTCACAAAGGGCCTGCCCAGTCAGATTAAAGTGTGCAGCCACTGCAGTGGCCCAGTCAGCAGGTCAGCTTCTGTGCTCCAGCAGAGAGCTCCAAAAGTGAGCCTGGCGCGATGGCCTAGCCGTGGGTGCTGGAGTCCGGTTTGTGTGCCTGTGCTAGGCTAGTGCTTTCCAGGGAGAGGCACAGTGAGTGAGGTCCAGTGAAGGAGCATGTGGATGGCAGTGTGTGTATGTGAGGGAAAACAAAAGGGGCACAGGAGTCCATGGCCGTGTGTACGCACCTCTCTGGACCTTGCTCAGAACCGTTCTGTTCCCATCCCAGAGTCTGACTCCACTGTCCCAAGAAACACTGGAGAAATGTTTGGAGTCATTCATTTACCAGTTAGCTAGCATTCAGTAAACAGTGTCCTGGAGCTCTGAGCAGAGTGATGGATCTGGGTTTCATATGGAACTTGAAACAGCCCAAGGGTCTTCTTTCTCTTACCAGAGAAGGCAGTTCATGTCAGCTCTCAATGTGTCCTTGCAGTGTGTGAAGGGTCTGAGGTTCTACTCTGTGCTGGGGACTATCAGTCAGTGACACCCTCCATAGACAATGTACCACAGCACCTGCCATCCCTGGGGCTGGATGCAGGGTTTGGAGATCAGCTGACACATGGAAGGCAGGCCAGGATTCAGGTTGTGATAACTCATTGTGATAACGTTCCCTTCCTGCCTGGGTGGAGATGAAACGTAGCAGATGGTAGTGATGGGCTCTGTGCAGTGACGAGAGCACTGACAGTGACGTCAGTTGAGTCCTGCCATGCCTTTCAGCAATGGTGTGACACTTAGGCACATTAACTCAGCCCGGTGCCCCAAAGTTTTATAAGAAGGTATGTAGCGTGGGGAGTCAGTCTCCCTACGGTGAGAGCACTTCCTGCTCTTCCTGGGCGTGTAACTTGATTTGTATGTGCTGGAGAATCTTCAACTCTCAGGAGGAGGAGCGTGGTGCCTGAAGCCTGGAAAGTCACGTCAGAGGAAATGGCATCAGAGGCATCCGAATGCCATAAAACTTGCCTTCCTCTTGTCAGAGGAAAAGGGTCACTCAGGCTGTGAGTCAGCGTGTGCTTTGTGGCAGCTGACACTTGTCATGGACCTGTGAGAAGCAGTCCAGTGGTGTCCCGTGCACACCGGCTGTTCCCTCTAGACATTTGAAGGGAAGAGTTCAGGTGGGCTTGTGCATGGAGTGAGAGTGTTGCCTGCTTTCAGGAGCTTTCTGTCAGTACTGCTGCACTGTAAGGCAGCCAGCAGTATCCGCACACCAATGAGCTGCCCGAGCTGGAGGTTCCTCATCCTGTACATTGTAAGCATTGTGGTACTTTTGTGTGGAACTTCAAGGCCCAGAGAGCTCGCACAGGACTCCTGCTTTCTACGTCAAGCTTTTCATTTTAGTGCCTTAGCTGAGCATGCACTACATGTTAGTATTACAGATATCTAAAGATGGCCTATACACAGATACTTTCTGCTCTTACTAAGTATACACAGGTGTTTAACAAGTAAATTGTGTGTGTGTGTGCACTTCTGAGAGAGGAGCGCACACATATATGCAGCAAGGGCCTTGCTACTTTGTCACCCTGCGCTGCTTCCTGTATAACTAGGAACACGGCAGACCTGTACTCGGCTGTGGTAAGTGCAGCTGTGAGGAGAGCTCATGGTTCCTTGAGCAGCTCAGAACACGCTGCATGTGGGGACAGGAAGGCTGGGAGGCCGGATGCAGGGTTGCAGATGTGAGACTCACGGAGATAACAGCTTGTGATGCTAGAAAGTGACAGGTAGGACCAGTGGAATGGCTCAGTGCAATAGCACTTACCAGGCAGATCCGAAGCCAACTCTGATGGCCAGGACCAGGGCAGACGGGACAGAAGGAAAGAACTGACTCCCAAAAGTTGTCCTCTGATTTCTACATGCACCAGACAGCACATGTGTGTCTATGTCCACACTACTCACACACACACACACACACACACACACACACACACACACACACACACACACACACACACACACTGTACTACATACCCACACCAGACACACACATCCACATGTATCACACTCACACACATACACACAGCCGTATACATCATACCGCACCTACACCAGACACACAGAACCACACACAAATAAATAAAATAGAATTCTCAAAAAATGAAAATGACAAGCAACGTGAGGGTTGAAGCTTGGATGTAGTGTGTCTTGGAATGTCAAGTTTGGGAGCTCTTGCAGGGCTCTGAGTGACAGTGTCACTGGGAATGGGAGTAAGATGGAGTAAAGATGAAATTGAGGGCAAAATTGTAGGGATGAGATGAAATGAGGAGGAGGAGAGGCAGCTGGAGCCCCTGACCTAAGCACATGGCAGAGAGCCCTGGGACTGGCTTTGAGGGATATCTACAGACACTGTCTGCCTTGGAAAGTATCGATTTTCTTATTAACCCGTTGGTCTCTTCTTTGTTTTGTAGATTCGGCCAGTAATTGAACAAACCTTCCCCTTTTCTGCCGTCCCAGAAGCCTTCCTGAAGGTGGAAAGAGGCCACGCCCGAGGGAAGACTGTGGTTAACGTCATTTAAACGAACATGTGCGTGCCAGCTGCTTTCGTCTTGCTGAGTGCCTGTGATCTGGACATCTAGCCCTCTAGATATTTTTCCAAGCTAGATTCTAAGTTGCATGATGTGTTTACAGACCTAAATGTGGACTGGTGAGACGACTCAGCAGATAAAGCTGCTGGGAGTGCAAACACGGCTTCCTGAGCCCCATCCCTGGAACTCACATAAAGGGGGGAGCGCACTGAGGCCACAGAACTGTTTTCTGATCCTCTGCCCCATGCTCATGCCTCCACAATGATAAAGAAAATAAATAATTTTTAATATTGTGTGTGTATGCCAGGGTGCATGTGGATGGAAGTTTCTGTCCTGTTCGGTCCCACAGCCCTTTAGTCCCAAATTAAACACACTGAGGTTTATATTAATTACAAACTGTTTGACCTATTGCTCTGGCTTATTACTAACAAACTCTTACACCCTAAATTAACCCATAATTCTTATCTATGTTTAGCCACATGGCCTGATATCTTTTCTCAGTAGGGTATTCTCATCTTGTTTCCTCTGCCTTTCCTCTTCCCAGAATTCTCCTAGTCTGGTTGCCCTGTCTATACTTCCTGCCTGGCTACTGACCAGTCAGTGTTTTATTAAACCAGTACAAGTGACAAATCTTTCCAGTGTACAAGAGAATTATCATACAGCAGGTGCGCTTTGGAGATTACAGGGGACTGTTCAGTACTTGGTTCTTCCTACCATGCAAGTTCTGGGTATAGAACTCAAGGTCTTAGGCTTGGTGGCAGTGCCTTTCCCTACGGAGTCATCTTACTGGCTCAATAAAAAAATTTAAAAACATGTATTTTTTAAAATATTTTTAATATTCAGATAGTGGTAGTGCACGCCTTTAATCTCAGCACTTAGGAGGCAGAGGCCCATGGATCTCTGAGAGTTCAAGACCAGTCTGGTCTACAGAACAACTCCCAGGAAAGCTGGAACTACACAGAGAAACATTATCTCTAAAAAACTTAAAATTATTTAACATACAGAAGTTTCTTCGTGGAATTTCTATGCAGGTGTCATTAAAACATAGTGTTTTTTGCTGATCATTTGCCAGTGCTTGATATAAACAGTCAGCTCCTACACTTGCCTGCAGTCAGTGAGGAGTACATAGTTTTATTTTTATTTTACATAATGTGTATGGGTATTTGGGCTACAGGTATGTTCACCACATGGCATGCCTTCTACCTGAGGATGCCAGAATTAGGTGTGTGATACTCTGGAACTGGAATTAACAGGTGATTGTTAGCTGCCATGGAGGTGCTGGGAATTGAACCCAGGTCCTCTGGCATAACAGCCAGTGCTCTAACCACTAAACCATCTCTCCAGCCTCTGTGATATTTTGTTTTCTTAAGGTGCTCCTTCATCCAGCTTTGCAGATTCCTGTGGCCTTTTTGCAAATCAAGCACCATCATCTTACCTTAATGTCTGTGAGATTCTGAAATGTGTGGTGTATAGATGGATGTCAGCGTGAAAAACTTCATTTCTTTCTGAAATTCATCAGTGATTGTTTTCCTAACTGGCTGCTACGGGTTGGGTTGGAAACATATCCCAAAGACCCATGTGTGTGTTGCACACATGGGACAATATTGGGAGGTGGTGGGACCTTTTAAGAGTTAGGACCTCATGGGCGGAAGCGGGGACTGCTGTTGGAGACGACATCAAGACCCAGTTTGTTCCTGCGTCTATGTCCTGACCACCTGTAGGCAAGCAGGTGGAGCATTTTCTTGATAGAGTTGATGTGAAGGTGCCCACCCATGGTGGGTGGGCTCTTCCTGGGCAGGTGTCCTGGGGTGTGTAAGAAAGTGAACTGAGCAAGCCAGGAGGAGCCCCCCTCCACAGGCCTGCTTCAGTTCCACCTCCAGCTTCCCGCCTTGACTTTCCTCCTTGCCGACTGTAATCTGCAAGGTGAGATAAAGCTTTTCCTCCCCACATTGTTTCTTGTCGGTGTTTTTGTTTGTTGTTTTGTTGTTTTTCTGAGACAGGGTTTCTCTGTGACTTTTGAGGCTGTCCTGGAACTAACTCTTGTAGACCTGCCTGCCTCTGACTCCCAAGTGCTGGGATTAAAGACCTGAGCCACCAACACGCCCAGCTTTCTTGTCGGTGTTTTAACACAGCAATGCAAACCTAACAGACACCCACCCTTCTGTGCTGCCTCACTGTGGTCTCAGAAGCAGCTGAATGAACATCAGATGAAACCTCCCACCATGAACCAAACAAACCCTTCCTCCTTAGACGTTTATCCCGGATGTTTCGTCACAACGATGGGAAGCTGGCTCCCTTATGTTTCCATTGGTCACTCACTGTCCTTAGCACATCCTTCAATGTGGAATTGCTTAGGGGTGTGTGTGTGTGTATACACTTTTAACACTGAAAAGTTTCATTTTCTTTTGAGACTAGGATCTCATGTAGCACAAGCTGGCCTTGAGCTCTTAACCCTCCGGCCTCTAACCCTAAAGTGCTGGGATTATGGGTATATGCCACCACACCTGGCTAACATACTGCACATAGGCTGGGTTTCTTTGAGCAACTGAGTTATGCCTCTCTGACAGCTTTTCCATGGACATTGCTACTGTCCACTCTTTCCTGACCTCATGTACCTTACCAATAAATCTGTCACTCTTGAATCTTGTTCGAGGTGTTTGCTGCTGTTTTATACTCATCTTCATTATTACATCTTAGATACTTGCTTCTAAGTCTTCCATGTACACAGACCTGTTTGGAGAAACTCTCCACTCCATATATTCCTGTTAGATACCTATTTAGTGTTATGTTGGTTGGATGTGGTGTTTCTCCTACAGTCATTCTAGAATTTCCTCAGTACAATTTACTTATTTTACATGTATGAGTGTTTTGCCTGTATGCATGCAAGTGTATTATATGCCTACAGTGCCTGCAGAGGCCAGATGGGCATCAGATCCCTTGTATCTGGAGTTACAGACAGTATGCACAGCCATGTGGGTACTAGAAACCAAACCTAGGTCCTCTGCAAAAGCATCAAACACTCTTAACTGCTGAGCCATCTCTCCAGTTCCTGTACAGAAAAGCAGGGTGTGGTGGTACATGCTTTTTAATCCCAGCACTTGGGAGGCAGTCTGGTCTACATGGTGAGTTCCAGGATAGTCAGAGCTACACAGAGACCTGCCACTATATATGTATATATAGTAAATGCCAATGCCACTTGACTTTTTGTCTATCTAGAAGGTCTCAGCTGTAGTCCCTGAGAGCTCCCAGGTGGCAGTTGATTAAGTCCTTGAGTGCACCTTAAAAATGTGCCTAAAAAGGGCCTGCAGTTAGCCTGCTGTGTCCCAGCCTGCCCTCTGACTCTCAACCGTCTCAGAGAACTGCTAAGTCCATTTGGGTCTCATCACATGGTTAATGAGGAATAAGTTTATTCGAGACATAAAACCAAACAGGTTACCCCACCATACTATAGTGATATACACAAAGCTGACAATCAGAGATGTCCATTAAGAAGACAGACGAGCTGGCTGCTGCTGCTGCTGCTTGTGCACGTGTTGTTTAAGCTGCAGATAAACTATCTAGATAAGCACACGTGCCTGCTGTTGGCTCCAGAGAGGAAACAGGCTCGAGCAGGTGAAACGGAAGTGACCTCGTTGAGCCTCTGACAAGAGCACCAATGTTGTGATGAGGACAAAATGGGGAAGATGTGTCCAAGGAAATGTCTGGCAGTTTTGCTCAAAAGGACATTGTACTGTTTGAGCAGCAGGATCTGGAGCAGTGTATCACAGCGGTTGTTCCCGAACTGCCTGCAGAGCTCTGGGTCTCTGAATGAACGCTGCACAGAGCCCCTGGGATCTCCTTCACTCCCTAGAAGTGACCACTAACCCTCTCCTAGAGCTTCACACATCTGCTACCAGAAGGGAGGTTCCTGGTGTCGTCAGATCCAAAGCAGTCCTCCTGCTGGTGGCCCTGGAGAGACCAGGCTGAAAGGTCTGATACAGATATGGCTTCCATATTATAGTAAAGATTAATAAATTAGGCCATAATACTGTCCCAGTAGCAGCTGTAAGGAGGGCATTAAACTGACACTTGAGGGCACTCCACAGGAGAATTAAAATAACCCAAGTTCTGCTTTTAAGTAGACATCAACATGAAAATTAGCGAATTTATTCGTTTAGAACATTAACTAAAATAGTGTTTTGTTTATACTTGCTAAACTTCTTGGAACATGACTGTGTGTATAGGACTTTCCCAGTCTGCATTCAGACAGTAAATGATCCTGGAGAACGTTAAGGCAGTGGATCAGAAGTCTGGCAAAGCATCCTCCAATGCTAAAAGTCTTGTGATAAGCAAACCTGGGTTTTTATTCATGCCTCTAAGGGAATCTGTATGTCCACATGCAGAGGTCTTGTCTCCTCCTGTCACTGGAAATAAGTTACGACGTGGTCTTGATCTTTAAAACATGTACATCCAAAAGCTGCTACCAGGGCAGCCTGTTTAAGAAGTTACTGAGAAAATACAAGGCAAGAAACGAGAACAGACTAGTGGCTTCATACTCAAACGTCTTTGAAAAGATTATTTTCCTGTCATGGCCTTCGGTTCACTTTCCACTTGGCTCCTCCGTCAGCTCTGTGGTTTTATTTTTCTTCAGTCACGTGGTCAGAAAATCCCCCGGAAACACTCCTGCATTCTTGGTCCGGGCTCATAGGACCATGGCTTCCCACACTTGGGTTGACTTCTCCGTGTTCACTGTGTTGAGAATGATGTGATTTTGATCGTACTGTGATCCTCCTGAATGAAAGGGAAAAAAAGTAAGAATTGTGCCAGGGGAGAAGGGACAAAGTGTGTGTCAAAACACAGGAAGAGCAAGAGAGAACCTGGAATAAAAGTGCCGTAGCGGGAGAAGCCATGGTACCCAGAGGACGAGGGTAACTGGCTGGGGTGTGTGGCTACACTCCATCCGGGACCCAGCAAGTTCACACAGCCCATCTTGCCTTCCGGCTCTCCCTCTTCTACCTAGCCTCTCTAGCTCCTATTACCATATCGGAAATGGGGGTGTCAGGGAAGATTCTAGAGGAAGGAAAAAGCAAGATGCCATAAGATGGAACTGGGGAGATAAGGCTGTGAGATGCTAATGGGCAGGCAGGCAGCCTGGTGGCAGTGGACAGAAAGGTTGTGGGGTGGGGCAGTGGGAGGCAAAGACAGTGAGTTCTTCAGAATGATGAAAACAGCTGTAACTAGATTGAAGGTTTAAACGACTCCCGGAAGCATGCGCAGGACATGGAAGACTGCCACTGCTGGGAACTTGGGTGCATGAAGTAATGCCGAGGACCACTGTAAGAACCTCCTTCTTCTCTCTCACCAGGATGTCTGGAGGGGTCTTTCCAAGGGTGTTCACTGAAAGCCTGAGGTGCATTAGCGTTAGAAGCAGCCTGTGCCCTCTTTCAGTAGAAGTATCATTAAAACAGAAGGGGCTAGCGGATTTCCCCAGTGTGGGATAAATGCCTCTCCAGTGCCTTATCTGCTTTAGTGGAAGCCTCTCCACCGAGGACCACGTGGAGATGAAAATCTGCATTTGGATGCAGGGCGCAGCTGGTACTGAAATCATTCGTCATCCTCAGACCAAAGGCAACATTCTTCTCTACTTTAAAGCATTTAGAACATCAAAAGGGCCTGAAAGAGTAGCTGGGGAAGGAACTCACCCCTTCATTCTCTAAGAAACTGACTTATTGTCACTCAGCACCCATAGCGCTCCGAAGCTAGGTGTAGTGCCGAGCACAGGGAAATGGGAGCTTGCCAAGCCTCCCAGTTAGCCCCCAGAAAATCCTGCACTCTCCACCAAGACAGCACAGTTGTTGGATGGAGAGAAAGCTCAGTAGTTAAGAGCACTTCTTGTTCTTGCAGAGGACCTGGGTTCGATTCCCAACACCATCTGATTCCCAAAACCATCATGACGGCTCAAAAACCATCTACAACTCCAGTTTCAGGGAATCCAATGCCCTCTTCTGACCTTGGAGGACACCAGACACAAGATACACAGGCATACATATGAGTAAAACATTCATACACATTAATAAATCTAAAAAAGACTTTTTAAAAAAACAACAGATTCCAAGAGTTCAGAGAGTATTAAGGACACAGTGTCTTTTTCATTCTTCAAGATTCTGATGACATAACACTCTCTCTGTGTTTACCCCAGTACTGCTAGAATCACAAAACCTACAAAGGTCCTGAGAAAAAATCTGATTAATTCTTTTGCCTTTGAGAAGAAATTTAAAACATGGTAGGCTTTTATTTTCTTTTACAAAACATGTATTTCTATGTGAATGATGTAGAAGACATGTGAATAGTTAAATGGCTATAAAACCAAAACACAAAAACCCTTCTTTTTGCCATGCATTTCATTTAGAGACCCGACGGCCAGGTCTCGGGTGTGCAAGCGATGTAAGCCGGGCAGCCCCTACCGGTAGACCTGACATACTTACGTCACCTGTGTATGCTGAGCTAACACCCACACCTGCCCATCTGTCTAAGAAGGGTGCTATTGTCACAGGCATATTTGAGTTCTTGGCACACAGGACTGAAGAGCTGTAATTTGAAAGAAATTTTACACCCTAATTAAAATAAATCACTAGTATTCCTTTAAATGTTACCTTATACTACAAAGATGCTATCTAGCATAGATTGTAACCCCACACACACTTGGCCAAGCAGAGAGATTCCAGATTTAAGGCCAGCAAAGGGGACAAAGAAAATATATTGCCTAGAGTTATCCTTTTTAGTTTCTGCACTTTACATACTAGTTTTATTTGTCTGTTTAGTATAGGATTCTTCCAGGCTTTTTATGTCTTTAAGGTGAGTGTGAGTCAGCTTCCACTGTTGTCATAGGATCACCGGTCTGAAATCATACTTCAGTGTTCACTAAAACAACTTGTTCCCCAAGTACAAGCCAAGGAGTCCTCTGTAGTTTTAGTAGATAACAAGTGAAAACCACAGGCTCCTACTGAGTGCAGAAACCTGGAGAACTGTGTCTGCATGTCTCTTGCCAGTGTGCTGGCTGTGCTGCCTGCTCTCCTGTCCAGAAGGTGGCACCATGCTCTCACGTTCTGAGAAACCTAAGCTCAGGGGAACAAGAAAGTACTGCATTGCTGCAGTAGACACAGAGACCCCATAAACACAGGCCAGCACCCACACTCCAGGGGTTGGAACTGATGCCCAGTGAACATGGGCAAAATTTCTGTAAGAAGGGTCCCATAGAGAGTAGAGCTGGCCATTTTCTTCCCTGTGGTACCCAATGTCTTAATAAAGAGCCTGGCACAATGAAGCCTGCTAAAAGACTAAAATAAATGCCCTAAGAACTACAATGATCTTAGAAGCTAATCCCATCGACAAGAAACAGCAACACCCAGCTACATTAGCGAACTAAACATTGTGATCCTCCCCCTCTAACATTGAACTCAAATACCCCATCTTTCCAATTTAGTCACATTTTTCTGGGGATCTTATTTAGGGGAGGTGCCATTAGGGATTGAACCAAGCATTCTATCACCGAGCTACAATCCCAGCCTTGCTAGTGGTTTTGAAACTTATTTTGTGCAGGCAGCGTGAACAGCCCTAAATAAAGGTCAGCCTGGGTCAGCGGTTCTCAAATGGTTCAAACTTGGAGCCATCTGTGAGATGGGGCCTCTAATCTGTCTACAGATGCAGTGTGGGCCATGCTATCTGAACTGTTCATGTCTCATCCCCGGGTTCCACTGTGTTTCATGTGCAGTTTTTGGTACCCACACAGTCGGCAGTCACATTACTTAGTTTTGGATGTACTCTGACTTCCTGCAGTCTAGTTTGTTTGTCTCTCTGAGCACAGCCCTGCTCCTTGGGTTCTTTGTGTCTATTCTGACTGGTGAGTGGGCTGGCCACTCTACTGCCTGGACCACCAGGACAGCAAAAGCACTTCTGCTCCCTGTGTTACCAACACCTCTGGTGTTCTCCATGCCTTATTTTCCATTATCCTAAAGGGCCTTAAGAACCAAGTGTCACTGTTTCTTTGTCCCAAGTTATTCATCTTCAATGACAGCTTTGGCCCAGACCACTGACTAAAGTGAAAACTGGGCCAAATTCTCACAGTGATTTAGAAGCATGGGTAGTATAGTGTGACCACATGATCACCAGTTCACTGCTACAGCCTTTCCTGATGGGGAACAGAGTGCACCAACCACAGAAGGCACCTGGGTGTGGCAGAGCACACACCTGCAATTCCAGAATTTAGGAGGCTGAGGTAGGCGGGCTGCCCAGAGATAAAGGACAGCCCGGGCTACAGAGTGACCTCCTGTCTCAAAAGTAACTATAATGACTCATCCCAGTGCTGTGATTAAGCTTGCCTTCATATACTCACAAAGGGCAACAGTACCTGCTCACTAAGTTTCCATACATTTTTAGGTTGGTTTTGTTGACTGTGTTTTAAAGTCACCATCAATGGTACTGTGATTCTCAAACCATCACCAACATCTAGGAACTTGTCAGAAAAGCACACCTGGTGCCGCACCTCCAGACCTCCTGAATCAGTAACTCTACAGACAATGCTGGTAGTCTATGCTCTAACACACTCCTAACCCCATGACTACAGGCCCAACGTTTTCCTCCCAAGCACCATTAGTTCACTTTAGATTAGTGTCGCTGAAATTTCATTAACTCAATTGAAATCGTCTAGGCTGTATGCGATGGTAATTTGGCTGTCAACTTGGCTACAGCTGGGATTAACTAAAGCCCCAAAGTGGCTGGGCACACCTGAAGGATTTTTGTTCAATTAAATCATTTGAAGGGGAAGATCTACTTCTAATCCAGATCTTTGAGGTGGGAAAACACGCCTTTAATCCAGAGGTGGAAAAAACCTGGGCCACACCTTCTGCTGGAAGCCTAAATAACAGCAGCTCTCAAACTGTGTGTCTCAGCTCCTTTGGAGGTGGAACATCCCTTCCACAGGGTTCACCTAAGACCACCGGAAACCAGATTATTTACATCGCAATTCATAACAGTAGCAAAATTATAGTTATGAAGTAGCAACAAAAGTGTTGTATGGTTGGGGGTCACCACAACATGAGGGTCACAGCCTTAGGAAGGTTGAGAGCCACTGCTATATAAGGACATGGAGGAAGGAAGCCTCCTTCTTTGCCTGTTTGCTCTTTCCCTGGCTAGCAGGTTCATTCTTTCCCTGTCATTAGAGCCTACTTCTTCAGGATTCCAGTGGGTACTGAAGACCATCTAAGACATCCAGCCTCATGAACTAAAAACCTACTGGATTCTTGGACCTTCTGTTCATAATTCTTGGATTAGCTGACTACAGCCTGTAAGTCATTCTAATAAATATCCATTTTCTACATATAGAAAGATTCATTCTGTAAATTCTGTTAGTCTAGATAACCCTAATACACTCTAATTCCTTCTAGAATTAGTTTTTTTTTTTCAGTGAAAAGCTATGTGCTTGTGTACATGAGAACCATCAACTACACTGATGGAATAAAGTCACAGCCTAGCACTGCCATAAAAACAGGGCTGGGGATACAGCTCAGTGAGCACATGCTCAGCCTATATTAGACAACAACAAAAAGCCAGCCCTGGCACCAGCAGGGCATTAGTAGCGCACTCAGCATGTTACGACAGGCTCTTCCTTAGCTAAAGAAGGGAATATCATCACAGGGAAACAAATGGTGCTTACCTTTCACATCCAACACTAAATTTGGCTTCAACTTGCTGTAGATCCGTCCATCGGACTTCATGCACCAGAACTGACTGTCAGCATTTTGATCGAGGGCCAGTCCTAGTTTAGAGCCAGACGTTACGAGGCTGCCCACGATCGTCAGGCAGCAGTCTTCTGCTATCTGCTTAGGAAAGAACAGGCTGTGTCAGGATACACCTCCGTCTCACAAACTGATGCCTGAGACTATTGTAGTCCCTGGCTTCCCTCCACGTGAGCCCTCGCAGCTTTCAGCTCGAGTAACTGCAGCCAGACAATAGGCCTTTTATTTCAGATGACACGAGTGATGGTGAGTTCTCAATTCTCATGCACTGTAAGACTGCCCTTTGTAAGACTCTCTGTTGCTATTAAGAGAAGCCTCAGGGCTGGAGAGATGGCTCTGAGGTTAAGAGCACTGCTGTTCTTCCAGAGGTCCTGAGTTCAATTCCCAGCAACCACATGGTAGCTCACAACCATCTGTAATGAGATGTAGCACCCTCTTCTGGCCTGCACGTTGCAGAACACTGTATATATAATAGATAAATAAGTCTTAAAAACAGAGAGAGAGAGAAGCCTCACAGGGACTAAGTGGTTAAAACTGGCTGCTCTCTGGAAGGGCTGGTATTCAATTCCCAGCACCCACAAGGCTAACAATTGTCTATAACTCCAATCTCAGGGGATCTGACACCCTCTTCTGGACTCCATGGGCACCAGGTATGCAGGTGGTACATAGACATATATGCAGGCAAAATATTTATATAATTAAAAAGAAAAAAGAGAGGCCTTGGTACAAAAAAAAAAAAACTGCCCACCATGACGGTTCTTCCAGTCAACAGTGAACAAGCTGAGGCCACATCTGCAGCTCACATGTGGCCTGAGTTTCCTGCTCGTGCCCACTCCTCCCTACAGCTGCATCAGGGGAGCCACAGAATGCACCCCCACCCCCTGCCCTGCTATCATCCAAGTTACAATCACTAGCTCCTTGTCATTCATTCATGAGAAACACATCTAAAATTTTCTAAATTGGCATGCTATCCAGGTATAAAAAGTAGGAAAATGCAAACTCAGAAGAAGAAGGCACTTAATGAAAGGATTTTTAAAAGTCCCTCATGAGGTAACAGACAGCATTGCTCACTGCTAACACTATGCCACAGTGAAAGCTTATTAAAAGTGGGCTGTTCTGGGTAGGGGACATGGCTGGGGGAGTGGGGGAACTTGGCCGTGCACGGGCATGTGCGCACACACGCACGCACATGCTGTGATATTTCACTTTTTCCTCCTTGACCTACTGAGATGAGGTAGTACATAATGTCGCTGAATTGTTAAAATTGCTGAGGGCACCACTTTCTTGCATCGAGATGATCCCAGGGTGGAAGCTGCCTTTGTTTGAACTCCAGTCCTTCACTCACCCCTGCTTCTCAATACTGTTTTCCTCTGTGTGGCTAAGCAGTACCTCTCTAACAAAAGCAGATTCTCCCTCAGGCACAACAGACCTAATAAATGGGCGTGCCCCTGCTGACTCACAGGCACCAAGTTTTTAAAATATCAAGAGCAAACAGGCAAGCCCATAAAGTCAGGAAGTTAAGAAGATTCCCACATCAGTTCACGAGCTTGTCTCGTGGGATCTGGCCACTGCCTTTAAATGTCTGCTGCGGCAGGCATGATGAAAGCACAGCGGCCAGCCGTTTTCCATTTACAGCACGTGACCATTAGGAAATGAACTGTGCTGTACCACACACATGTCTCCCCACCCTACTCTGCGAGCTCTCCAAACAGAATCAGCCCTAGAGTGGTTTCTGGTGTTGTGTGGGTGTTCCAGTTGTATGGCTACAACACTGTCACTCCCTTGCTGGATTCATGCTAGATTCCCTTCCTATTTTAACTTCCTAACCCTGGTTCTGATTCTGTCACAGCTGGGAAGTCTTTTCATGGGGAAAACTTCCCAATTTATTTGTGAAAGGTTTCTGGGAATTGTCTGTGCAACCCTAAATGCTCCCCCTGCATTTGATACATCCATCTTGTGCAACTCTAAATGCTCACTCACCCTACATATGATACATTCTTCGTTTGCAACCCAGAATGCTCAACTTATACTTGATGCATTCTTCTTGTGCAACCCAGAATGCTCACCCTGCATTTGATGCATCTTTCTTGCACAACTCTAAATGCTCACTCACCCTGCATTTGATGCAGCCTTCTTGGTAGACCCAGATCTGATCATCAGCACCAACGTCTTCCATGACCTGGATCCTAAGAAGCTTCAGATCCTCTAAGTTCCCATTGGTTGACATAAACAGTCCTGTTGCTTTGTTTCGAAGTCTGAAGTAAATTCGTTTCTAGAAGACAAACCCCAGTGACAGTCACATACAGCTGTCTGAAGAACTGAGACACAGTGACATTTGGAAGAATCTAAAGTGGAGCAAATGGGTGAAGGAAGGAGACCATACCCAAGGGTTACATACTAAGACTAGCCCTGCTCTCAATGCTAAGAGTTTGAGGACCTTTCAGAGCGGACAACCAAAGGTGACACATGCATATGTGCTATTGGGCTTGATGGCATTTCTGGAATATCCATGCTTCGTGGTGCCACAAACTTTATGCCCAATATAGAGGGAAGAGGAGACATTGGCACGCTTCCGATTGAAAATAAAGGTTGAAATATATTCACAAATACATTTTTTTTCGAGAAGAGTCTACTCACAGCATGGAGGGAAAATTTCACATACCTGAGCAAAGGGCCGGAGAGAACCAATTTGGCGACAGCCACTGAATTCATACCAATTTGGTACTTCTGCAGGAGATAGTAGGAACTGTCGGCCTCTGTAGTTACCATATTCATAAGTAACCCATCTGAAAAGAGGACAAGCCATAGCAGTGACAACTTCCATTTGATGGTGGGCCCTGACAGTCACATTTGCTTTCAGAATACCACAAGTAAATTTATTTATTTAGCTGTTTATTTATCTTCCTTCCTTCCTTCCTCCTTTCCTTTCCTTTCCTTTCCTTTCTGTTTTTGAAATGGGGTTTCTTTGTGTAGCCTTGACTATCTTGGAACTCAACAGAGATCTGACTGCCTCAGTTCTCAAGTGCTGGGATTAAAGGCGTACCCCCCCCCATCATGCCCAGCTATAAATTATGAGATGAATTTCAAATACACATGGAAAGGGAAATAAGCCTGTGTAGAACATTCAAAGACATTTCTTGATAAATAATGAATTTTGGAGGACCAGGGGTACTTAAGTATTTCAGTCAGGATCCACTCTGTGAGAGAAATAGGTAAGTTTGTTTCCCCTCCAATGAAGCAATGAAATAGTGATGCTCTCAGTGGCTCACCAGTCCTTTCTGAAAGTTGTTCATAAAGCATCTTCAGGCAATGGGTCCTTATTGAAATAATTAGCATTTATAAAGTTCTCATGTAGGCATGGGTGCATGTAATGATTGGATAAAATAAATCCTTCACAAGTGAAGTAAGGACTTATGAAATAAAGTACGTACAATGCCATAATGGAATCTGTTACTAAGAAGGAAAGTATGTATGAAGCCTATGATGGAACCTGTTACTTCCATGCAAATTTAAGATACATTTTATAACAATTACAAAACATTTCATTTGTTCATTTAAAATAAGAGTAACTCTCCCCAAATCCCACGAATGTTAAGCTAACTTCCTTCTACCCATCTCCCTACGGACTGAGCTCCCCAGGGCTGAGCCCCCCAGGATCCTCCTTCTGCCCTGTTGACCTTCAGAAAAGGATGTTCTCCACTTCAAACCCCCAAACTCTACAATGTTAACATTTCATCCATCTTACAAAACAGTCATTAAAACTTACTGGAAAAACATTAATAGGTATAATCCTAATAATTCTTTAACTATTTTTGGTGAATATGGTACAACCCATCTACTTACATCAGCTGCTGTCCCTGCAATATCTATATATCTCAGCATGCCTTACCTGTTGTTTCCATAGAAGGAAAATATTTTCATAAAAATGTACTGCACTGATATATATATTTATTTATGCCCAATTCAGTGTCAGAATTACTCAGAGATTAAAACCAAAATTTTTCCTAATTTAAAAAATTGGCTGATAGGGGCTGGGCATGGTGATGTATTTTTAATCCCAAGATATGGGAGACAGAAGCAGGTGGAGCTCTGTGAGTTTGAGGCTAGCCTGATCTATATAGCAGGTTCCAGACCAGTGAAGACCCCATAGAGAGACCCTACCAAAAGTAAAAAAAGAAAATAAAAGCTGGTGATATTGTAACGTGTGTGTGTGTGTGTGTGTGTGTGTGTGTGTGTGTGTGTGTGTGTGTGTGTTGGGCTCCGGACATGCAATAGCATGTGTGTGGATATCTGAAGAAACTTTGTTTAGTCAGTTCACTGTTCTAGGGACTAAACTCAGGTCATCAGGCCTGCATAGTTAGTGCCTTTTGTTCACGGAGCCATCTTACGGCCCCTCCACAGTTGACTTGGTAATTTATACATCTGCAATCAAGGAAAAGCTAGCCCTTTGCTCTAAAATCAAGGGGCATAAAAGAGGAAGAAAAGCTAGTGCTCTCTTACTTGCTGTACAGAAGGGTGGCTCCACAAGTTTGCTGAGCACTGTGTTGTCGAGCTGCCCCTTAGCAAAAAACGTCTGGATACATAGATGAAACATCAATGCTTTATACAGGCTTTCTCCAAGAAGAGGATAGCATGGAAGTGTGTAATGCTCACCCACATGGGAAGTCAGGCACTGTCAGTTCATTTAAGATAATGGAATGAACACTTGAAGTTTTCTAATGTCCCTTCTTGGCACATATAGTCACATCACTCACTTCATGGTGCCACTTAAATCCCCATTATGAGGAAATGGATGCATACGAATGTGTGTATTCATACGACTGTGCCTCATAGGAAGAGCGCATTTATAAGAGCAAGGAAAGAGAAGCCGCCTGCTCCAGAGGACCAACAAGTGGGTAGTTCACTCACATGCCACCAATGACCTGGATAGAGCGGATCTGAGTATTGAAGCCCATGGAGCGGAGGTTGACTGTCTCAGCATTCAGTTCAATCTTCTTCCCTTTGAAGTTTTCTCTTTCAAAAAGAATAATGGTTGGTTCAGAAAATTCCTGTTTGGGGAGAAATTTGTGCATCTGTTAACAGTGCAAAGCTTTTGTAGATAACCTGAAGCTGGTGAGATATCATCTACTCTCAAAGACAAGGCATAGGAGCCTGCCAGGCTATACTAACTCATAAACTTAGCCAATATGGATGTTTCCAGACTGCCAAGTTAGAGAGGAAGGATGGGAGGGTAGGAAGTTTTTCTGTTGCATGTAAAGGAGGGTTGAAATGGACCACAGTAAAACAGGGGCATGGAATAGCCCGTACCTAGAAAAGGGCTGTATGCATGGAACACCAACCCTTTAATGAAATTTACTTTCAACTTGGAGTTTTTTGGATAGAAAGCCACAGACATTAACCATGATAATCAGACGGCTGATGATACTGTAACAAGGATTCTACAAGCTCATGTTCCCAAGCCCTCATGTAGGAGTTATGGTTAGGTGGGGAATGAAGACCACAGGTAGAAGGTACAGCCATTTCCAAGAGAACAGACAAGGGAAACTTCAAATTAGTCCCTCTGCCCAAGGCTCTAATGATAATATTCCCAAGATCACAAATGGCACATCAAAAAAGCACACAGGACCACAGTTATTTCCCAGTCTACTCCAAGCTGTATGGCAAAGGTGAGACACATTACTCCTTCATTTATGTGGATGTGCCCTAAAGAGCAGGACAGAGTATTTGCTGTCACTTAACATCAAGGTGGGTTCCATGGCCTAGGAATTAGAATATAAAACACACAGGAGGGAGCCAGGAAAAAAAAAATCACAGGATTACTACTTTGCATGTTTACTGTATTTGCAGAGATGGCATGCTGAAAACATCCCAAACACTCAAATTTATCATCAGATATAATTTAATCCATCTTGAAGTGTTACATTACAGTTGAAAATACACAGGGCAAAGGACATGGCTCACTCATACAGTCCTTGCCTAGCATGCATGAGGGTCCATGTTCGGTTTCCAGCACCACACGAACATACAAACCCCTAACTCAGACACACAAAATGCATAATCTCATTCTGAATAGATCTCCGCAACAGAAGCTTAAAAGGATATCATCGTTAAGTGGCCAAATGATGTAAATAATGTGCCAAGATGGGATGGCACTAGGAGACTTCAAATATGTCCCTTTTAGAATTCTAGGCACATTAACTACTTTTTAAAAATCTAATTCATGACCTGGGTGGTTGTTGTTGTTGGTGGTGGTTGGTGTGTGTGTGCGCGTGCGTGCTTGTGTGTGTTTTGGAACAGGGTCCAATCTAGCCCTGGCTGGCCCCAAATTCGCTATGTGGCCCAGTATGACCCTGAACTTCTATCTGCCAGGTGCTGAGAATCCAGGCGTGCCTCACTGTGCTCGGTGTGTGTGGAGCTGAGGATCAAGCCCAGGGCTTCAGGCATCCAGGCAAGCATTCTATCAGCTGAGCCACATCCCTGCCTTTATCCCACAACTGTAAGCTGAAGAGCTTCCACATTACCGTCTCAGCAGCATCTTATTATTTAAATAGGCAGCAAGTAGAGGTGCTATAAAGCCAACACTTACATTCTCCCTATTCTTAAAGCTAAATTCACAAACTTGGAATGCTGAAAGCATCTTATGAGACTAGCTACCAAAAACAAATAAAAATTTCCAAAACTACAGATGTGCCGAGACCTAAGCGTAAGAGCATCATCATCTGGCTTTGTCGTGTTGAATACATTGCCTTAATTAGCTCAGATGAGGATACGGTTCCAGGGGCTTTACCACCTTTAGAACACAGCTGATAATCCGGGTTGATCTGGAAAGAGGGCTCACTGAGTAAGAACATTTGCTGTTCTTGCAGGGAACCTGGGTTCGATTCCCAGCACCCACACAGCAGTTCACCACTGTAACTCTAGTTCTGGAGGATCCAATGTCTTCTTCTGGCCTTTGCAGGCACTGGTGCATGGTACAGAGATACACCTGCCCACAAAACATCCATACACATAACACTTAAAAAAAAACAGTGACAACAGACCAAAGCACAAGGAATTTCTGCAAATAACAAGAGAATAGGAATCTGAAGAAAGAGATAGTTAACATTAACCCCAAATGACAAACAAATGCAGGAGACCAAGCCACTAATGTAAGATGTAAATCAACCCATTCCACCAAGCTGACAGTCATGGGCAGTTCGGGGAGGAACTGTTGGTCTGCCAGGGCACTGTCTGGATGGCTGTGTCAGCACCAACTGAAATGCCGGCCTGCACTTGAAATGCAGCACTCCCCCCCTGGACAGCCCGGGGACCCCAACCCCCCCCCACAGCAGCACTCCCCACCTGGACAGCCCGGGGACCCCAACCCCCCCACACAGCAGCACTCCCCACCTGGACAGCCCGGGGACCCCAACCCCCCACACACAGCAGCACTCCCCCCTGGACAGCCCGGGGACCCCAACCCCCACACACAGCAGCACTCCCCCCCTGGACAGCCCGGGGACCCCAACCCCCCCCCACAGCAGCACTCCCCCCCTGGACAGCCCGGGGACCCCAACCCCACACACACAGCAGCACTCCCCACCTGGACAGCCCAGGGACCCAAGTCCCACACATGTCCACAGGGATCCAGGAAGCAGTGGCCGTAGAATATGAGACAGTTACAGTCAATAAACTAGATGTGCAAGCAACAAAATGGACAGCTCTTCAAAAGTGGTAACATGAATGTCTAAGTTATGGCTGGAAGAGTGAGAAGTATAGCACAATGATATAAAAATAAAAGTCACACACATACTTTACAAGAATGTTCGAGCTGTGTCTAGGAGACACAAAGCATGACTGAAGAGAGAGAGAAGCATAGAAATAGGAGTTGGGAAAAGAAAGAAGTGGGGGGGAGGGACCTAAAACTACCAGATGGCTGTCGTGGGTGTGAATAGACAGATGTCCTGAGCAAAAAGTCAGAGAAAGACCAGGTTTAAACAGACATAAGCCGCACAAAAGTCGGGGGGGGGGGAATAGACGGCTAAATAGTAGAGAGCACTTGATGCTCTTCCAGAGGGCCCGAGTTCAGTCCCCAGTACCCACTCTGGTGGCCCCCATCCTCCTGTAACTCCAGCTCCAAGGGACCAGGTGCCTTCTTCCAGCCTCTGAGGGCCCCTGCACACACATGTGCACGTACATACAAGCATACACATAAATAAAGGTATTTTTGTTTAATAAAGAAGAACACAATCTGCAGGATAGAAAGCTCTGGCCCAGTGCTGTTTTCGCCTGAGTAAGTTCTGGCTTCCTCGCCTTAACCACCGCGATGTGAGCAGTGCGCGTCTGTGCTGCAAAGTTCACACTCACCACATCTATAAAGCGAAGAGACTTCAGGGTCGCTCCAGGCAGGCATCCCATTGCTGAGAGACAAGGATAATGGCCTTCTTCTAGCACATACTGATTGCCAGAGAAATTTTCTCCATCGTACGCAACCCAGCTAGAATAGGAACACACACGTGGTAGGAAATTTGTGTAATCCCATTTAAGAAATCTGATTTTTATGCCAGGCCTGGTGGGGCACACCTTTAATGCCAGCACTCAGGAGGCAGAGGCAGGTGGATCTCTGTAAATGTGAGGCCAGCCTGGTGTGTATAGTGAGTTCTGCGACAGTCAAAGCTGCATAGTGAGACCCTGTCTTGAAATAAATAAATGAATGAAAGAAAGAAAGACAACAAGCCGGGTTTTTTAAGGTGTCTGCTATAAAATAAGCATAAAGTTTATAGCTAACCGATTTTTCTTTAAAAAAAATCTGGAAATTTGCTGAATTTCATTAATATGCTAAAGTTGGTTAACTTTCTGAATGGGATGAAGGCAGCTTTATTTTGTTTGTTTATTTTTTATGTTTTTGCCTTCCCACCTCCCAGTCTTCCTCTGGGCTCCCAGCCAGTGTCATTGTAAGCACAAGAGTTCCCTTTCCTGTGTAAACACCCTTCTTCAACCTTTATTTTTTTCTCTCTCCTGGGGCTTGAACTCATGTCCCATACATGCTGGGGAGCATTGTTCCACTGATCTGCACCCTCTTTGTACAGGGTCTCACAGAGTTTCCTGGATGCCTTGAACTCACTCTGTAACCCAGGCAGGCTCCAGACCTGTGATCCTCCTGCCTCAGCCTCACAAACAGCTGGGATTAAAGTCCTAAGCAGGTTCAACTCTAGGTTACTGAAAACTTCCTTCCATATATGCTTTCCTTGTCTCAGTGCCTGGACCAGGAGCCGGCACACCACAGCACTTTTCTGTGCTCCCCGAAAGATGTTGAAGCTTTGTAGATTTGAACCTAACAGACGCTCAGTGAGGACTGACTGCATATTGGATACCGTCCTCTTGTTCAAGACGTAGCAGAAGCAAAAAACAGTCCCTGTTCTTTTGCATTTACTCCAGTAAGCAGAGACAGATGCTAAGCAATAAAAAAGCATGTGTCTGGCAGTGGGAAACAAAGCAGGGTAGAAGAGGATTGGCGTGGGGTGGGTGTATGAGCTAAGAAACTGAGACACGCCCCCCTCAGTTGGTCTGTATTTGACACAAAGCCAGTGCTCTTCACTGTGGAGCACCGAGCCACACGAACTGTAATATTAAAGGTTCCACGGCTACTGTTATTAGGCTTCATTCCCCTGGCCTCTTTATAGATGGCTCCAAGGGCTTCCTCGGTTTCTTCCATTCATATGAAGCTTTTATAAGGCGACTGCTTTCAGCACAGCACTTTGAGTTCACTGCCTCCACTCTCCTGAATCCCCTCCCCCACCCCAAGTCACATCTGTGTTTCCTGTGAGTCCATCAAACTCTGTATTCACCCACAGGGAGTCAGATCGTCCCCTCCCCTGGTGCAGACTGGCTTCACTTCTGCTGGCACAATCCCTCTCAGCTGGGTGTTGTCCTTCAACTGCCTGCCCAGGGTGGCAACACTACTCCTGTCTTCCTGTCAATGAAATCTGCCTTGGAGTACCTCAAAGATGACCCAGATCCTGCCCCTTTTACAGATGCTGGAGCAGGCACAGAACACAGAACTGGCCTGTATCCTCCTGCACGCTGAAGTCTTCCCCAGCCCATGCAAACGCACATCCTCTGACCTCTGAACCCAGATGCTGCAAAGCAAGCTTCCCAATCAGTGTGGTGGTTTCACAGCACCAACCACCTACATGAGTCAGGGACGACTTGCAAAGTGTGACTTCTCTACCCTAATGATCTGCTTCCACCCCTTGCTGTAAGCTTACCTGCCTCCCAGAACTCTGCAAGATTTAGTCAAAAACGAATCATCAATTTGGTTTATTGTCTCGTCAAAACTTTGACTTTGGCCTTGGAACTGTGGTTCTGAAAACAAGTGAATCTTTAAAAAAAGAAACACACAATTATTTTCCTAAACATGCTCAGATTTAAAAATTTTTTTTATTTTTATGTGTATGGATATTTTGCCTGAAAATATGTGTCTGTGAACTCCATGTGTGTCTGGTTCCTATAGAGGCCAGAACAGAATGTCAGGTCCCCTGGGACTGTAGTTAGACAGTTGTGAGCTACAATGTGGGTGCTGGCCATCGAATCTCTAGAAGAATAGCCAGTACTCTTAACCTCTGGGCCATCTCTCCAGACCTTAGCTCAGCTTTTTAAATGATGACTCAGATCTGACTTACTAACTCTTGTTACAGTGAACTGGTATGAATTTTATAAATCCTTTAATTTTCTACTTGATCATCAATGATCAATTAGAAACAGGTTGGCTGTACTATCTGTGAGTATCTAATTTAGAGGCATCAAAGGCCAGTGGGACAACAAAGGGAACTTTCCAAAGAGCATCCTCGTGTTATATGCTATGTTAAAGGCATGTTAATGCTTTATTGTGTCCAAAAGTAATTGTTCATCGGTTCTAACATTAACAATAGACTAGATTTGGAAGCATGTAGTCTTGGCTCCTCTTCTCTGAGGATGATACTGGCTGTCTTTTTAAGAATCACTACATGCTAATAAAAGAGGCTACAGTAGCATTTGTGCTTCTGTAATTACAGCTATCTGAAGATCTGCATTAAAAATGGGGACAATGAAACTGACCTGGGAGTCAGCAATTCGAAGGCTTGAGGGAAACCATATAAAATGTTTTCTACTGCAGACACAGCAAATGTGACTTCATTTTATAATGTGTCAAGAGAACCATATGTGCTGTTACCTGGAATATTTACTTATGGATATTCATGAAACAAGTCTATGTAATGAAATTAAATCCAGCATTATATAATAAAACTGTTACATAGGAAATATTTAGACATGGGCCAGTGCCATTGATTAAGCACTACTGTTAATGATTTCAGACTTAAGAATGGGTAAAATTAACAAAATGTCCCATACACCTGGCATTTATACTCACTTTTTCAATGGAAAATGAATGGTCCCTAATTATACTATTTTTTTAAGTTACCTGATTTCGTTTCCTTGGACCAGTCAAAGAATCCTAAACATTTAAAAGAGGAGAAAAAAAAATTACTAAAAGATCCATGTTCTAAACTATTTTTCTACTTTAGCAATTACTGTTAAAAATTATCCCAGAACACCTTCCATGGCAATTATTACACAAATCACTACACACATGAAGGGAAGCCAGACGGAATTAATATTCCCATAAGGATCAACTTACCAAGCATATGGGTTGGACAGAAGAGATCTTATAATTTTTGCCTCCCCAGTCCTCAAAGCTGGTGTACAAGCCTTTGTCCAGGATATACTGCTCTCCCGTGAAGTCAGGGTTCTCATAGGCTACCCATCTACAGAGACGGAACCTTGGTCAGAGTTCTTATTTTACATATAAAACTGCCTCATGCCTCATACGTCTGAAGAGGGTTTTGCTGATCAGACACCATATTTTTTCTGGCCCCTCTTTAATATTTAGCTGACTGTCTTTGTTTATAGGACAAAGCCAAGCTGCACTAAAGAATGCCCATGCAGGCTTTTTGGTGTTCCTAGATACCAAATTCCCATGCCTCAAGAAAGCAACAATAAGGATAATTTTGTGTTGTGATTTTTTTCTAGTTTCATGCCTATGAATACTCCAGATTTAAAAGAGGAGTCTGATTTTTTTTAAACAAAAAACTCTTTTTCAACATTGAAAGATTTCTGCAGATAATCTTAACAGGAAGCTATGTCTCATATATAACAAACCGCAACAAATAACAAAAAGCTAAAAAGAGGAAAGCACTTACATCTTTTCAAACAGTATTTCCAACTTAACACTTCTATAGAAAAACAAAACTGAAACAGTTCCCGGGGTACTAAGGACAAGTCTCTTGTAATATTTATATGTTAACTTTGCAGTGATCTCCGAAAGGCGAATGCAGTCAAACCAACTAACTGAGGCAACTTCCTGTGCAAAGAGGATGTCTTTGAAGGTGAAAAGGTTTTCCAACTTCTATTCCCTTCAACAGATACTCAGTGTAGTCATCAGTTAATTGCTCTAATGTTCCACTCACAGCTTAATGGCACACACTATGTTCAAACTTTCCAAGTTGCTTGTAGATCTGTTTACGTCACAACGTAGTAGTGATGGCACGCCCACTTTACGACGGAAGTCCCTCCACTTACTCATTCAGCAAACACTGACTGCCCATCACCAGCCACACACCAGAAACTAGACTGACACGAAGAAGATAGAGATGGAAGAAGACAAAATCCCTGTCCTTGGAGTTGACAGATAGAGGAGCATCACAAATAACTATTTGCTGTGACACATTCAGGATGGGAGGTGACCTATCCAAAGTGATGCAATCAGTTAATAGCCAGAACATGAGTGAGCCTGAGGCTGGCAAGGCGCTTTGCACTTTGTGACCTGCCTGCCATGTTCTAGTAAAATATACAGACCACAAATGAAATGGATTTTCACTGTGTAAGGGGGCAACTTAACCAAAAGCATATCTACAGTTATCCCCTCGAGATGCACACCCCCAGGAGAAAAAGAACCCTCTAGAAACTAATCGGTCAGGTGGGATTCAATAGCAAACACCAGAAGGCTCATCTCTGGCCATTTGAATGCAGAAACTGAGTCCCCGTCTCTCTCAGAAAGTTAAGTTCCCCTTGCCCAGTCTCAAAGTCACATCGGCAGTTTTCTGAACTTCTGCATCCTCAGTGTGAAGCAAAAAGTTTGGAGAGCTGGTTCTCTCCATGGTCCTGATAGTAACTTTCGGGAATGCTAAAGGAATCCCTTAACCTTCACAGAGTGTTTCCATTGAAGAGGGAGGGAGCTGACCGTGGACCCTGTGCTGAGCTGAGCGGAAGAGGCCACCCGTTTCGGTGCAGTGTCACCTCTGCACGCATATCTCAGGTAAGCCTGTGGTTAGGAGACAATGGCAACTGGAAGAGGGAGCCCAGCTCCAGCCATGGGTGCCTCTCATAAGATAAGCCACGGCAGCCAGACCCCAAACACAGGTCACATCACAGAAGGCTGTAGCAGGATTCGGGCTCTGTGCCTTTCCACTTGACTTTGAGGAGGGAAATCACCAATGAAGAGCGAATGTGGCCGGGACAGGAGCCCAATAGCCCTGCCAGGTCCTTGTCACTTGTTGAACTAACGAGTGTGTGTGCTCCACTTCCCCATCGAATTAAATAAACAACGGTTAGGTAAACACGGCAGTAGGCGAGCCTCTCTGACTCACTCTGATGGAAGCAAGGAAGTGCATTAAGGCATGGCTTGACTTGAGAGGAATGCATTCTTCTAGGGCCTGGTCAAGTCTCCCTGAATTGGGGTTAAGGAGGGAAGAAACCCTGTGTGCTGTGTGTTCCCAGTGTTTAATCTCCACCTCCTGCAGCAGCCGGCGTGTTCCACATAAATGCTGTGTCTTATCTGAGGGTGCAACAGACCTCGAAAAGTATTTGTCAAATGACACACTGAATGAAAATGAAGAAGGAATTGACCTCAGTGAATACAGGAGCCTTTCTACATCCAGAAAATTCAAGAGGCTGTGTGTGTGTGTGTGTGTGTATGTGTATCATATACGTGTATGTGTGTGTAGGAGTGTTTATGTGTGACTGTGTGTGAGTGCGTGAATATGTGTGCATATGCATATATATGTGTGAGTGTGTATGCCTATGTATATGTGTGTGAGTGTGAACAACCATGCTTCCCTTCTACTTCCCCCAATACCAAACCTCAATTTCTAAAACAAGAAAAAAAAAAGCCTCATCCAGGAAATTCAGCTAAAAATGACTAAAAATAAAAACATAAGAAAGCCTAACATCCTATTCAAGCAAGCAGGGTGAGTAAACAGGAAAACAAAGACAAAAACAAAAAACAAACAACACCCCCAAAAGCCAGGTTCAGAGCACAACAATGCCCTGTGCGAAGCTAACCTACATCAACATCTACCCAGCATCCTCAGCTTCCTCCACTAGGGCAGATGGCTGGCTGGCCTGTGACTAATGGGTGAGGACAGCTGGTGAGTGTCAGAACCCACAGGTGTCTCTCCAGGACTGAGCTTCTCACTATAGTCTTTTCAGACATAACTAGTGTAAAGGCAATCTGAAACACTGTAGCGCCACGGCTCCACCTCAGCGGCTTCTGCCATATGTTCAGACAACTCCTGCCTTTGTAGACAACCAACAATGATCATAAGATGTTAGGGCCACAAGACACATAGAAGCATTTTCTGCTAAAATTGGAATCCAGGGGTCACTGATGCCATTCTGCCAAGATGGGTCACATGTAACAGCCTACACAAAGACATAGTGCCTAACAAAGTGTGTAGACATGGGTCATGTATGTCAGGTTCTCGGGGAGGCCTCAAGAAATGTAGTAGGGCTGAGGCTAACCTGATTCAAGCAGGCTAACACCAACCATTTTCAACAACCCCCTAGGCTAGAAATCTGGCATCTCTTTCTGATGCTCCTGGGGAGCCACATACTCCAATCATACCCACTGTGGGACTGACCCTAGGGATGTGCACCCCATACTGGCACAGCCGGCTCTCTAGCTCAGGCATGAACCAAGGTCCACTCTGATGGGGAAGTCCTTCTGTGTATGTCAATAAAACACTGTTGGCCAATAAGGAAGCAAGATAGGTGAGACTAGGATTCCAGGAGGATTCTGGGAAATGTAGTGACGAGGTTCGTCGCCATGTGATCTCCTGGGAGGAAGGGACACATCAGGCATGTGTCCTCAAAAAGTTAAGTCCGTATAAAATATATATTAGCAATTATGGGTCAATAATCAAGTCAGAGCTAGCCAATAAGAAACCAAAAAAATGGCCAACAGCTTCATATAGTGTCTTGTGTGTTATTTGGGAGCTGAAAGCGACAACAGGACCCAGGTGGCGGGCAGGAAGACTAAACATTACGTCATTCTAGTTCAGGTATGTACCAATGGTCCACATTAAGGAATCAAATTCAAACCTGGAACCTGAGCATTCAATGAGTTAGGAGAACAAAAGCCAAACATGGATGAAGGCTATCAGATGAAGCTTGATCCCTAATGTCAGTCATGCCTGCAGCAAAATATTTTTGTGTTTGAATGGTCACTGTCATTGTTACTGCTTTCAGACAGGATCCAACTATGTAACACAGGCTGGTCTTGAACTCAATGTCTTTGCTTCCACCTCCTGAGTGATGAGATTAAAAGTCTGTGTGTTGAATGCTGAGAGTAAAGGCCCTTGACACCATGCCTGGCCTGAAACCAAACCTTCTCTACGGCTTTTCACTTGTATAAGCCAATGAGCTTTGTTGTTATCACTCCGTCTCAGAGTCTTCTCTCAGTAGAGACTTGCATTGGCATTAGTGAAAGATACGGGGCCATAATGCCAGCACTTGGGACGTGGGGTAGGGGGGTGGGTAGGCAGGTTCCAAGGACCAGTTACTTGTACTGCGCACAACCACACTCTCTCGAAAACAAAACAGCAAACAGGAATTGTTAACTCTAGGTAGTCTAAACAATTGTTTTTATGTCAACATTCTAGTGAAGAAACACTAGCAGGGTTGGAACTATAGGAAAACCTAAAGGGACTTTGTTCTGACCTCAGGGTCAATGCTAGCTTGCTTTTTTTATTTGTTTCCCATTGTGAACAAACAATCTACCCATTTAGAAAAAGGTCTGCATCTTTCTACCATGATACCCAAAAGCCTGCTCCAAGTGGGGGGAAAAGAGTTACATCAGAATAGTTTTAAAACAGCTATAAAAATGGCACAGCTGTAAATATCAAGTGACTAAATTAATATTTGCCTGTCAGATATTTACTGAGGACCAACTCTGTGTCACAGACTCTACTAATGTAACAGAAACCCGAGGGAAACCCAAGCTTAAAATCTTTTGAATTATTTCACTTACACGCCACTTAGCACATTGATCGATTGTGTCTTCACTCCATATCCCGTCTCCTTTAAATTAGCAACAATTCCTAAGACATCAATACTGGAGCCTTTGGAGCCAAAGTTCTTTTCACTGTACATTATCATGTGAGCATTTGAAAAGTCCTATTAAAAAGGAAAATTCAAATTCAAAGGGTAGCCGTTTGTCATCCAAAAAAGAACACAAGCCAGTCATATGCTTCTCTTTGACTTACACTTAAGATGGGGCGCAAAGACTGAAGTTCTCCGCCGTAGCCACCCCAGTCTTTCCAGTCCCTGTATTCTCCTTCTTCTAGCAAATACTGATGACCGGAGAAGCCACACTTCTCATACGCAACCCAACTGCAGGAGAAAGGACACACTCAAACTCTTTCCCACATGGCCAGTTTTACTGACATAAAACTAACTGCGAATTTGTCTTACCATTGAATTCTCTAAACTTAGAAAGGACAGCATATAAATTTATGTGTTTATGAGAATTATTTAATATCTAAGAGAATTTGTTCAGAAAACCTAAGAAGTATATTAGAGTTCTATAAAGACATGTAGTTATTCATGAGTGTGCTTGAATTTGGATGTGTGAGTGTGTGTCTAATAAGGACTCAAATGAGGGGTTGGAGAGATGGCTCAGCAGTTAAGAGCACTTGCAGAGGACCCAGGTTAGGCTCCCAGCACCCACATAGCAGCTCACAACTGTAACTCCAGTTTCAGATGATCTGACACTCTCTTTTAGACTCCTTAGACACTGCACACATGCACAGACATACACATAAAATAAAAATAAATCTTAAAAAAGAATTAAAATGAAACTCAGTAAGTAAAATGACAAACTTTCTTCAAATAGTAATGAAAATATAAATACAAATTGTTTACAAGACTTCAGTATATACTCCTACAAGAAATGTACAGGATCTATAAAATTCAAAAAGAGCATGAAAATTAGAAAGAAAATTAATTAATAGTTCATTAGTTTGGAATACAATATTTTCAAAAGTCAATCTGTGTGGCTGATTTTTATCACTTTGCATCAAACTTCCCCACAGCATCCTTCTAGCCACTCTCTCAAGTCCAGTCCACAGCGGACTGAAGAGAACATGAACACTGCTGAAGTTCACCAGATCCAGCTGGGGATGCAGTGTGACAGCCTGCGGGTTCGAGCCTCACGATCCCCTACTGCCTCCAAGACATCACCATGCTCTAATCAGGAATGCTGTCTTTGGGGGAAATGAGGGCACATTTCATTAGTGAAAGAGAGAAATCTTTACCAGTTCCCATCTACTTACATGCCTCTTAGGACTTTCATAGACCCCACCGATGTAAAGGGCAGATGGTCATTCCCAGTCGTTTCTTCTGTCTCACCTCCATCCATGACAAAACTACACATTTCTGTTTCTAGCTCCATACACCTTCCTTCAAAGGAAGGCTTTTCATAAATAACTACCTGCAATAAGTGAGACAGACATAACAAAAATTTGGGAGACGTTAAATAGCTAAACATGGAATCTGCCATTCAATAGAACCTACTTGGGCTAGGCGTGTGCCTCTGTAGAGCACTTGCCCAGCACCTGTGACACCCCGCACAAGACACAGCCAGAAAACAAACAAGCAAACCAGCTGGACATGGTGCACAGACCTGCAGACCCAGCACTCAGGAGGGTGAGGTAGGAGGACCCCAAGTCCAAGGCCAGCCAGGAGCTGTATAATAAAGACTGTCTGGGATCAACAAAAACAGCCACCACGATGGCTCAGCAGGAAAAGGCTAAGTTCAGTCTTCCCAGACACACATGGTGGAAGGAGACAGCCAACTCTCACCAAAATATGACTTTCACACGGGATATGTCACATGTGCCACCACACCCACACCGCCCCCCCATCAAACATAAGTAACCCAAAATGATAATAATAATAGTAATACTAAATCCTAGAATACACATCAAATTTTTAAATCATATATAAAAATTAGCTACATGACAACACGTAAATTTAACTAATAGAGTTAAAACAAAAGTCATGAGGCCTCCCCTCACCCTCCTTCTATCCATAGTGGAACACTGCCAAGCCAAGGTTTAAAAGATACTAAGGAGCCAGAGGATTCTAAGGTTGATTTAAAAATGAAAACCACCACGTCATCAAAGTGCATGGTTCAGGTGACGGAAACAGCAGCAGAGGCATCCAGGGTGGGGAGATTTTGGCTCAAAACCTTTCTTCTGTTGCCAGCAGCAGACTCTGCGATTAGCAAATACCAGCAGGAATGGTAAAGCTAATACAACAGTGAACCTCGGAGGCCATGCTAAGATGGCTATGTTGTTAGCCTCTTCCAGCATGAGAAGCTGGGCGGTTCCTCTGGCTGCAGTAGAGGGAGGTGTGGAGGGGAAGTCACACTGCCGTGATATACATGAAGATAGCAGAATAATCTCTCTTTCCTAAGCCCTCACTACCAACACACACTCTCTCTCCGCTTGTTACCTTGGGGTCCGTAGGGAATTCAACTTTACGGCCACCCTGAAAAGAAAAAAACAGCACAGTAAAAAACCCGGTTTCCACTGACAGTGTTTCCTATATCACAGTAGTTGAAGCACACAGTGGGTCTACTTTGCTTGTTTTAATTTACATGAGATGATGCCACAGTTACCAAATGGGATGAAGTAGGAGACCAGCCAGATCAGAGGTTCACATGGTGCTCTGAATGTGCACACCTAGTGCCTGCTTCTGTTCTGCTTTTGAGGAACGGAACTCAGGGCTTTGCAATGCTAGGTAAGCACTCCACCACTACACCCTAGCTCCTTGATTTATTTGCTTTGTGTTGTTTTTTTTTTTAATTTCTGATACAATTTTAATTTATATTCCAAGAGTTAGTGCTATTTTTCTTTTTCTTTTGAGACAGAATCTCACTCATCATAAAGACCAGGCTAGCCTCAAACCTGGGATCCTCCTGCCTCAACCTCCTAAAACTCCTTTCTTATTTCTCTTGCTAAATAGCCCTAAGGTTTGCCACATCTAGACCACATGTCTCTAAGGAGGGGAGCTTCACCTTCTGCACTGGCACGGGCTGGCCCTTCCTTAGCAAGGCACAGGTCTGGCTGGCATGGCCACCACTCCCTTTGGTTCCACTCCCAGAAGCCCCACCCTTTGTATTTCCTGCCCGGCCCCTGAAGGCACCTGACTTTGCAACCAACAGTCTACAAAAGTGTTGAAGCTCACACAGAATAATAAGACAAACCATTAAGTAACACTTAACACATCTTAAAAGGACTGGGATTACTGCCCTTTTATAATAAAAAGGAGGCTTTTTGTTGTTGTTTCAAAAACCCTGAGATCAGAGAAGAGAGTATTACATAAAAATACTGAACAGGCAAAAGTCAGTAGTGGGTTAGCTGGGAGATGGCCCACCAATGTATCTTTATGAGCTTAAAACTGCAGCCAAAAATCTTCAAATGACCCAAATAAACGGAAATTATAAAGAAACAGGCAAACTCAACCAGACCTTACACAGTCAAGAGAGTACTTTCTTAAAAAATAATCTTTCAGGGGCTCAATAAACTTCAGAGTTTTAAAACCATCAACTTGCTTTTTAAGCTTGGAATAACACTTTCATGCATTCCCAAAACTAATAAAACTGGGCTCTTTGAAAGTGGATTTAATATTAGAAAAAAAAAGCCTCAAGTCATGTGCACTGAGATCTGGAGATAAGTTGAATGTTTTGTTACAAAGGGTAAATAAAATCGAGATAAAATATCTTTTATGGTGTGGCAGCCTCATCCCACCTGAGCCTTCATTCCAGCAGTACAGCCAGAGAGCAGGGCAAACACGGCGACAAGGAAAAGGAAGCGGAAGTGCAGGCTCCTTTACGGCAAGTTACTTGAGAGGGTAACTACTGAATGCTCAGCCCCGCTCCCCTCTGTCCCACTCAGCCAGGAGGCTTCCTGGCATTACCGCTGGGCTGGTCCTTGGCATGCCCTGCCCACCCTGAGCCTGCCCTGGCTCCCACACGCACTCTCTGCCAGCCCAGTTATGACAATCCTGCTCCTGTTCAGGACTCAGCTTCACTATCAGAAAGTTTCCTAATTAAGCACCTGCCCTGCCTCTCCTCCCACCACTTGGCATTTTATTCACCATGGCTCCCATTTTCCATAAATACTTCTTCTACTTACTATAGGCCTGCTCTTAGCTGCAGCTTAGCACAGACATCTCCTCCCTGAGGCAAAAGATGCCCTCGGGGCAAAGGACACAGTCTTGTCCCCTTAACTGTGAAATTGAGTAAGTTACTGCTTCTATTATTTCTATCCTGCAATAGGACTCATCTCTACCTGCTACATATGCATGTAAAGCAATGAAAGCTAGTTTTACTTTCAGAGTCACAGCTGGTAGACTCAGAAGGTCAAGCTAACAGAGTTGTTCCCTTCAGAACACCAAGTTCAGTTCCGTGGTTACCATTTTCAGAGGCCGCATGGATCCAATGTATGCTTCTTCAGTGTCCCAGAAGGATAAGTCAGGGTATTCACCGGGCTCCAGGATGAAGGGGACACCTTGAAATCCGGGTTCTTCGTAGATCAGCCACCTAAATCACGAGCACGGAAGCAAAGAGGAAGGAACTCATCATTTATTCTGTTTTCTCCTGTTTGGAGCACAGGACCCCACTGACAGAGGAGGTCAAGAACAGGGGAAAATGTGGTCACACAGGCATGGCTGCTCCCAAGCGTGGGGGAAGAGCCGCTCCCAGAGGAGCCAGCTGGGTGGTGTTCCCTGGCCTAGGATGTCCTCATTGCTAACTTTGCCTCTTGCTTTAAGTCACACTGTCACACTGTAAACACTTTTACATGCGAATACCTCTGTCACCTAGTTAGAGACCCCAAGTCAAGCCATGTCAAGCTATGTCACTCATAAGTAAAGACTTACAGAGTTCTATTTAAACATTTCTTGTGGTGTCAAAAATGTGTAACAGCTGACCTCTTCCAAAAACTTACAAGGAAGGGAACCTAGAAATTTGGGTAATCCTCACAACAGTGTTACCAGGCAGGAATGCTCTTGCCCCTGTTTTACAGGTGAGGTTAAGTCACTTGCCCCAAGGCAGGGCTGACCCCCTGACCCCCACTCCCTGTCATTCTTTCACAGCAGTTTTTTCCCCATTTCAGGGAGTGTACCAAACATGATCTGTTCCTGTCACACCCATGAAGCATCCTCACTCTGCGAACCACTCAGCACACACACCACTGTCCTTCAGGGCGAAGGTCCAAGGGCCGCCTGCTCCCAGGTGGCAACGCCTTCTGAGTGTTCAGTTCTCCTCTTAAAGACATTGCGATTCCATGTCCTCCTTGTATTGGGCGTGTCAGCTGTCACTTCTGCTCTGGTCAAGGAACAGCAGCCCCACCCTCTCCTGAACTAAAGCCAGGGAACCATAAAAGCATGCCCACTGGAGCTAAGTGCAGGTCTCTGGGAAGGTGTGGCTGCTGGAGAAGTGATTTATGTTGTGCAGATGTTACTACTGCCCCTCTGGAAACAGACTAGCTCCTTCCTCCTGATCCCCAGTCCCACACAGGGGATAACTTTGCTAGTGTGGTTGAACCACCAGGCTGCGGTACTCTACCAAGCACATTATGTTCCCAGATGTTGTACCCAAAGTAGAAACTCTCAATGAAATCCTTCACAGCAGAACAGGTTCTGAGGGTGAGGTGGCTTTCCGCTTGTTTCTGATTTTGGCCTAACACCCTATTTTAATGAAAGTTTGTGTTAAAGATGCCCTTGGACCTTCTTTAGACCAATTACCCAGAGATTTGCCACCCAATTCCTACTAAAGACCTGTCAACAGGTGCATGAAAGCCTGGGCGGTCCTTTGGCACCATAAGTGGAGATCAAAGTCAATCAACAGTTTCCTAGCTACAAAGGCAGAGGGTTATGGGGGGAGGGAGTGGAAGGGAGAGAAGGAAGCCTGGATGACAGGGCTCCTGACCTGCCAGGGTGTTCTATTTCTAGCTTACAAAAATGCATTCAGTTTAGTGCTTTTCTGTGCAAATGTAACACTTCAAATATTACACTTTAGAACAAGTTAACCAAGGGGGAAAGAAGCCTTTTAAAACCCTGTTAATATCTCTAAGCCAGAAGGCAGCAGGCTGAAGGGACACTAACTCCCTATATCTAAACCACAACAGCCAGGGAGGCACATACATTCCTGGAGCCCAAAGCTGGCTTGGACACGTTACACATGGGCTTTTTGATTTGGCCAAGGAATGGAAGTTCTGCAGTCAACATGGTTGAGTCTGATTCCCTTACAATGGATGGCTGTGCTTTCTTATAAACAGCATGTGTAGTTCATGTAGTAATCCCAAAATTTTAGGATGATTTCTTTAAAAAAGATTTCTTTTTATGGGCATTGGTGTTTTGCCTGTATGTATATCTGTGTGAGGGTACCGGATCCCTTTGGAACTGGAGTTACAGACTATTGAGAGCTGTCATGTGGGTGCTGGGAATTGAATCCAGGTCCTCTGGAAGAGCAGTCAGTGCTCTTAACTGCTGACCCTACAATGATGTTCTCAAAGTAGTCTTCTCCTGAGGCTTTCCTTCTTTGGGTTGAACTGCAATGGGTATGTTCATCTAACACTACAATTTCACTTTCCTTGAGGCACATGGGCTAGTCACACAGCATCTATAGAAGATGGAGGACTCTGCCAGGAAACAGTACATTTAAACTGGCAAATTTGCAAGGCTATGCTGAGAGTCCCTCAGTGAGTCGGCACCAGGGGATCTGAAAACTCATGCACAGAGCTTTAGGAGAGTGGGAAACTTTCTTCATGCAATACCAGGTCCATTTCTAAAGAATTTGCTTTTCCTTTTCCATTGTACTTAGGTAGCAAGCTTTGCTCATTAAAAAACTATGGTTCAGAGTCATATTAACTGTATTGCCAAGAAGCATTGACTTTTTTTAAAGCAAATGTGAATATGCATGCATAAGGAACATACATGATGAATGTTCATGAATATATGCATAAAGAACATACATGATGAACGTGCATGAATGATTGCATAAGGAACATACACATAATGAACGTACATGAATGATTACATAAAGAACATGCATGAAGCCAGGTGGTAGTGATGCACACCTTTAATCCCAGCACTTGGGAGGCAGAGGCAGGGGAATACCTGTGAGTTCAAGGCCAGCCTGATCTACAAGAGCTAGTTCCAGGACAGCCCCCAAAGCCACAGAGAAACCCTGTCTTGAAAAATCCAAAAAATAAAACAAGAGGCATACATGAATACTACTTAACAATGGCCGCTGATTTGTATATTAAAATATGCATTATCATTCCTTTAGAGATACCATTTAGTTCCATAAGAAAAATCTGTCTTATCATGTGTTTGTTTTTAAAACAAGTAACTAGCAGGTAAAACTAAACTGAGCATGCCCAGCTGGGTCCTAGGAGATGCAGATGTACATAAATATTGGTCAAATATTTATGGAAATTAATTGAAGATTGAATATGAGGTTATTCAAAACTTCTGAATAACTTTGCAATAGAGAGATGTGGGCAGTGCCTCATTGACTCGGCAAGCAAACTTGATGTCATCAGCTTGCAGGTGACTATTTTGTCATGTGTTGGTATAGCATAAATACACCTCATATGAAGTATCCTTGCCAAAGCTGTTCAACCTAAATCGTACCTTTAGACCTAACCCTTTGTACAAAGAACATTTAGATAAGGAATCATGTTCTAAGACTGCTTTCTCCCACTCAGCATTTCTTTGTTGCTAATAGTTCTGTGTCCAGGGTGGGGGCCTCAGGAGCTTCCGGCCTTCCGTGCTAGCATGTCTATTGGTGGTGGTGTTCATGTCTTGTTAAGGCGGCTGTGCTAATGACACTTTATGGATGTAGTTTCTTTGACACTCCTAGGAGATTCAACCATACAGCAAACTTTCTGATCCTTAGCTTTTATAGTCTTCCTGCCCCCTCTTCTGCAATGTTCCCTGAGTCTTCAGAGTGGGACAAACCAGGCTTTTAAGAGCTTCAGTCTTAGAGCAGTCTTAGAACTACATCCATGAAGTGTCATTAGCACAGCTGCCTTAACAAGACATGAACACCACCACCAATAGACTCGCTAGCATGGAAGGCCGGAAGCTCCTGAGGCCCCCACCCTGGACACAGAACTATTAGCAACAAAGAAATGCTGAGTGGGAGAAAGCCTTTCCCAGGGAAGAGCTGCAAACTGGTTATCCAGTGCCAAATGGGCAGTCCTGAAGCCATACACATGTGAGTAAAACTATATGGACAGAGAAGGTTGTGTTTATATATTTAGAAATAAACCATGCTTCTATAATCCCATCTCTTGGGGAAAGAGATGGGCAGATTGCTGGGCCTCACCAACCTGTCAGTATAGATGACAGCCACAAGTACGTACACGAACAGGCAAACACACTGGTACACACAGGTGAACAGCGTCAGGCCTGAGCCGTAAAGAGATCACAGAGGCAGAAAAAACAAATGGACTTAAACAGGGACTCTCACTGGAATTTTTGGGGTTGGGGTGAGACAGCGTCTCTCACTGTGGTGCCCAAGTTAACCTGGAACTCACTTTATACTGCATTAGCCTAAACTAAGGGTCCTGGTTGACAACTAACTAAAAACCATAAAAAACAGTCTGGAGGCAACCAGGAAAATGTGGTTCTGGGATGTCATATTATCATAGGACACAATGCTAAGTGTCTTAGGTAAAGTTACAGTTATTATTTGATTATAAAGAGATTCAGACTGTGTCTGCAGAAGCAAAGGAACAAAATGTCTGCAATGCACAGCCAACTGACAGCAAAAGATAACAAATACGAAGCTGGGCAAACTTGGGAGGTAGAGGCAGGCAGATCACTGAGTTCAGTCTGGTCTACAGAGTGAGTACCAGCACAACCAGTACTGAGAAATCCTGTCTCAAACAAACAGATAACAAACATGGGAAATATTAACAATCACTGAACCTAGTGGATGATAGGCAGGCATTTCCTGAACTATTCTGGCTGGTGTTTGAAAGCCCATGTAATACAGTATGCCCCACAACAGAATACATACGGTGACTATAACAGCAATTAAAAACACAAAAATACAGGCAAACCAATGGGTGTGTGTAGCCTTGGGAGAGAGTTCATGTATGTGCAGAGTGAGGGAATGGGACCAGAGTAAGTGACCAGTTCAAAGCATCAGAACTGTCTAACAGCCTTGGTTCAGACAAAGTAGCCAGCCTATCTTCCTTGCTTAAATCATAGGCTCCCTGTGAAGTTCTAAAGCCTTTGTTTTTGTTAAAATATACCCTAGAACTATGCAAGCCTGCCTTTGTCTCAGGGAGGATGGGAGCTACTATAAGCCAGCCACTAAAGCAAAGGTTTAGACCTATTTATACTCAACAGAATTTGAAAGGCAAATTTAGTTAATAATTACTCATTTCCTTAAGAAAGAATCTGACAAGGCCAGTAACACCCTTACACATGTGCAGAGGAATTTAATCTGGAGTGAATGGGCCCAGGAATATGTTTCCTAATGGGATCTAGAGAAGACCCAGAGCACTGTTGTGCAAGTCACCGAAGAATGAGGAGCACCTATTACCAGGTAAACCCTCCCACCCTACCTGGCTGTGTGTGGAGGTTCACATCTATAATCCCATACTAGGGAGGACGGGGGGGGGGGGATGGGGGGGACGGGGACACGCAGAGTGAGCCAACGACACACGGTTCTATCAGCTCACCCAGATTCCCTTGGGCTCTATTAAAGCATGGATGTCCTGAGCTCACCAACCAAGCTCAGTAAGCTGGACTTTGAACTATCAGAGTTAGCTTCCAGGAGGCTCCTGGCTCTTTTGCCCGCCAGACCTTACATTTTCTCCCAGTTTCCCAACATAAAAGTGACGGAGGCACATGGCATCTTTAACCTCCACCCTGTCCGCTGGCCTTTAGGATCTAATGTGGTACCTAATTGAAAGCCTTCTCGACGGTCATTTTTCCTTTTAAAACCTGCTTCCATCTGCCCTGCACACACAGAATTCCCGCTCCTTGCCGTGGTGCTGGGGACTGACCTCAGGCCTTCCACATGCTGGGCAACTGCTCTAATGCTCAGATACACCCACAGCCTTCTTTAAGTGGAGGACTCCTGGGTTCCACCTGCAACTGCTGCCTGCAATCCAGGCCTACACTTCCTCTTCCTCCTGCTCCCTCGTGTGAACTCACAGTGGATCTCAGATCTAGCCTTTCCAAAACAGCTTGCACATTCCACTCTTCCTCCCACACTGTTCCTGCAGGCCTCCGTGTCAGAACAGGCCAGAGCACCAAGCCTTCCAAGCCCCAGCCCCCTGCACCTAAAATTCATCAGCAAATGCTGTCAGCTCTGCCTTTGGGTCTTCATCCAATGACTGATGAAGGCAGATTCAGAGACACACCCCCATACTCCCCCATGGCCAAACATTGGGCTGACCTACATGCTGAGGAGAGGGAGGAGGGACTGCAGGAGCCAGGGAGGTCAGGGACATCACAGGGAAACCCACAGAAACAGCTTGCCTGGCTCACAGGAACTCAGAGTCTGAACCAACAACCAGGGAGCCTGGTCCATTTGTGGGACTCCTGGTAACTGGAGCAGGGGTGTCCCTGGTGCTTTGACTGGCTCTTGGGAACCTATTCCTCATGCCAGATTGTCAAAGCCAGGCTCAATACAGGGGAGGTGCTTGATCTTATGCCAGATTGTTAGGCCAGGCTTTGCTCCTACATAGGGGAGGCCTGCCCCTTTCTGAGAAAATGGGTGGGGGGATAGAGGGGAGGGGAGAGGTAGTGGGAGGAGAGGAGGGAGGGGAGGCTGCAGTCAGGCTGTAAAATAGACTGAATGAATGAATGAAATTGATGTATCTCAGGCCTCACGATTTCCTGTCACCATCACAGCACCTAAGCCACCATCATCTCTTGCTTGCATGGTTGGAACTTGTTTTCCTCCCTTCCGCCGTCCCCTCTTGATGGTCTGTCTCTATACAGCAGCCAGTAATCCTCAATCCTGCCCTAATAAGTGCCCTTCACTTGATGGCAAGCCATCACCATGCTCCCTGCTGTTATCCCACTTATGGAGAGGGGGGTAGTATGGCTTCCTTGCTCCTCTCGAAATGCCACGCTGAGATTTAACCCCCACTGGGAGGTACTAAGACAGAGGACCACACGGGGCCTTCAAGAGGCAATCCAGTCAGATTCAGTCACAGGGCCTCTCTCATGAATGGAGTCACCCGTTCATGGCCTGACAGGCTGCTTCAGAGCGGCTCTGTGACTGCAGCCAGGCTGGCTGTCTCTTATGCACACCTCTCCTCCCACACAGTGCTCTGCACCGCCCTGGGACTCCACGGTCCCTCCAGCAGGCAGGCCCTCACCAGATGCCTCCCACCCCCTAAAGCTGTGAGCTAATAAACTGACTTCCTCCCAAGGAAAATGGACCAACACAGAGAGCTGTTTCCCAGGCATGGAAGGAGCACACTTGACTGCTGGGGGTGGGGGGAAGGGCTCTCGTTCTTAACCTGTCTATTTGGATACTTTATTTCAGCTCTACAGTTACCTACTATCATTTTTCTAGGTATACTCAAATTTTTAGGCAAACAAAAGAACAAACAGTCATAAAGGTAGCTAGTCTATACCTTATTCCCTCTTATAAAGCTCTAGATAAAATACCTCCTGAGACAACAAACTCTCTAACAAGGCAGCCTACTTTAATTTCAACCATTGGGAAGCCAAAGCCTGCTCCTCCAGTTTCTAGCTGTTTCCCTCAGGAACCCCCATGGAGCACCAGAATACGAGGGGAACATCTACATTTCATTTCTTCAAAGATGGCTGCCCCTCCCTCTAAGTCAAAGTCTCCATAGTCATGCTTCCTAAAGCTTGATTTCTGAGGACTGAAAATCTGAGTTTGTGGTCTGCAGGTAGCTCAGTTCCTCCAATCTACAAAAATCAAACCACTTGCCCATGATAGCAAAATGGCAAACTAAGATTCATAGCGGACAACAGAATGCCAAGGCTTCACTAAGGAGCACTCTCTCATTTGCTCAGAGATATCCTAGATCACTTTACAAGACAATGAAACCTTTGGTGGCACATTCCATTCATAAAAGCTTGTCAATGTTCTCTGAATATATAAAGTTATATATTATATACACTACCATTGAACTAATTGTGCATTTCAGAAAACTTCTACAAAAATAAAATGTTAAAAAGGAAGAGATTTGAGCGGCAAGATGACTCAGTGGGGTAGATGCCTGATGACCTGAGTTTGATACTCAGGGCCCATGTATATTGGAAGGAGAGAACAGATTCCTGAAAGTGGTCCTCTAATTTCCACACATACTCCATAGCACACACACATCACACATCACACATCACACATCACACACACACACACACACACACACACACACACACACACACACACGCCATGTATACTAACAGTGAATAAAAAACAAATTGTAATAACCTTTCTAGGAAAAGATTTTATATGAAACGTCCAGCAACTTTGACAGGCCTTTCGAGCATTTCAGCAGTTACCGTCCACGTGCCTGGCGCTCTGGGCTCTGCTTTAAAGACCACATGTTCTGTCCTGTGTCTCCACTTTTATCCTTATCTCCACCATCTCAGACTCCCACTGCCTTCAAAATGTCCTTACAGTCTCCAGGGGCTTGTGCAGCCTACACAGCAGCATTGTGTAACAAGGGCAAAAGAAGTCTTTTCGGCTGACCCAATCCCACTTTAAATACTGAATTATTGAGCTTTGAGTGGCCAGGTTTCTCTGTGATTAGCGAAAAGTCCTATGTAAAAAAAATGTGATTTCCATGGCTGGGATATAGCTTAGTGGTACAGCCCTTGCCTATCGTGCCTAAGATTACCCCAGCCCAGGAAAAGGGGTGGGGAAAGCAAGAGCATGGGGACTCGAGCTTGGAGCCCCACACCCACATCCTCTAGCATTCCCGATGGAGCCTCATTGAAACCGCATTTGACATGGAAGACTTACGTGCCCCAGTGAACTTTAATGGAACATGTCTTCTGTATCACACCGAAGCCTTGCATTTCCTCAGCATCATCAAAGTAGGAACTCAGGAGCCCCAACCCTTCCGGTTCTGTGAACAGGTCAATTTGACTAATTCTGTAATCCTGAAAAAAGAAATACACATTACACATATAATAAATATATCGAGTGTTGAACTTGTAATAAGCTCATTATTCTTTCTCTTACAACTGACTGAAAGCTTTATTTAAAAAATGTAACATGTATGCATGAGTGTGAATGTACGTATGTACCACATGCACGCCATGTGCTGCTGGAGGCCCGAAGAGGGCATCAGCTCGCCTGGAACTGGAGTTACAAACAGTCATGAAATGACTGGTGTGGGTGCTGAGAACAGAACCCGGGTCCTCTGTAAGAGCAACAAGTGCTCTTCCCTGCTGAGCCCTCTCTCCAGCCCCTTAGAATACGCTTTAAGTATACACATACAATTCACAGGGCACTTGCCATCCCATCCTCTCCATTTACACTCATTACACACGAGGCTCTGTTGGGTCAGACATCCTGCTGTGATCACACATCTCAGGGTCACATCCAAGCGTCACCAGGAAGGTACTTTCTTGGCATTTTGAAGTATCTTCCTCTTATCCTCACTCAGTGTTTCTGTGTTTCTTGGTCAGAGGACTTTTGGTTCCTTTGCTCTGAAGTCACTATCCAAGTCTAATGGTTCTAGTCTAAGTCTGCACTTAGGTTCTTCCCCAATTATGGTTTTGTGTCCATACACTCCATAGCGATTTTCCTCTACTGTGACTAGACCTCTAGGATGTTGGTTAGACTTGAAATGTAGAAAAAAAATACACCCATGGCACTTTATAAATCTCTTCATTCTGGCCACTGTTTCATGCCCTTGGGTGTATCAAAGTGTAGGTATTTGTGATATTATATACACATACATATATATATATACAAACATATATAATATTTATATGATATATGTATGTGTATGTAAGTGTAAAACATGTAAAATATTCCACTGAGAGGACATCTTAAAATAGTGTTTCTCAGAGCTTGAGATTTGGGTCAGTGGTTAAGAGCACTTGCAGTTGTGGTAGAAGATCCCCCACCCCCAACCCCCATCCCCCCACCACTCCCCAACCCCCTTTCAGTTCCCATTACCCACACAGAAGCTCAGGCACCAGACATCCATGTGGGGCACAGACATATATGCAGGCAAAGTATTCATACACATAAAATAATAAAATAGTGTTCCTCGTCTTATATGGTTTGTCATACTATGTACTCTACTTAAAAATGAAACTGGCTGTAGTGATGATCCCTTATAATACTGGGGGCTAAGGACATCCAGGGACAGATGGGTTGCTGCTTCTTCAGACAGCCTGAGCTACACAGCCGGATCATGCCAAAACCCACTAAAAGACAAATAATGACCATGCCTTTGAAATGATGATCATCATCTAAGTGGCTCAGAAATGTTGACAGGGGTGTGGTGGCGCACACCTATGGTCCCAGCACAGGAAGTGGAAGCAGGAAGATCAGGAAGCAGTGCCAGGCTTGCCTGAGCTATGTGAGGCTGTCTTAAAGCAAACAAGCAACAAGAAACACCGAGCTAGGAAGTAGCTCTGACAAACCTGGTTTCCATCCTCCCTCATCTCTCGTTAGAACCTTCCACTTTTCTTTACTGTCCTCTACAACATCTACCTCGGCGGCAAAAAGTTATTAGTTAATCTTCCATTTGTAAGATGCCAGAAATGACGTGTTTACAAAGAAAGATGTTGACAACACCTTCCTCCTCAAAAAACAAGCGGGAACTTCTACCACCTCTGTAAACGGACCTCAAATATCTCAAATGATCTGGGGTTCTGTTGTTTAGAGGAAAGCTTATTGGGATTCAGGGAGGCTCAAGGGTCATTGCTTTGTACCTGTGACGAGCCCTGGACACTGTAGAGCACATGTCAATAGTGCAGGGTCATCTAAAGGCAGCCAGGAAGCGAAGACACAGGAAGGGATTCAGATATTTTAAATCTACCAGAGTGGAGCTATCAACTAAATTATTTCTAGATTGTCTTTCTAAAGTAAAATATCCTTAAATGCCTCAAGGAAAGCATAACTCCGTGCAACAATCAAAAAACTAAGCCAGGGCTCGGAGATGACTCAGCAGTTAGAGCCCTTGCTTCCCTTCCAGAGGACCAGAGTTCAGGTTCTCGCAGCCATGTCACCGGCTCATAACCACCTGTAATTCCAGCCTCAGGGGATCTCAAACACTCTCACAGACACCTGGGCACATATTTGCACACACATGCAGACACACAGACAAATAAAAACTAAAATAAATCTAAAGGGGGAAAAAGCAGGCCAGGCTGTAGTGGTACACGCCTTTAATCCCAGCACTCAGGAGGCAGAGGTAGGCAGATCTCTGAGTTCAAGACCAGCCTGGTCTAAAGAGCAGTTCTAGGACAGCCAAGGCTACACAGAGAAACCCTGTCTTGAAAGACCAAAAAAGGAAAAAGAAAGAAAAGGCAGACTGTTCATAGATAATTTGTTGAAGACAGGTTACTCAGTAAAGCACTCCTCTGGGTTATGAGTGGAAGCCAGAGCGAAAATCTTACCTAATAGATTTATGATGAAAAATATCTAATGATTAGACTGTTTCTTTTGTAATTAACTTGTAATATACAAATATTTACATTATAGAACACATGTCCAAAAAGTATCCATCAAATATGTACCCATTTATTTCATGAAATGAGGATTCCCTTAAAGTAAAATTATCCCTGACAGCCATTTCTCAGTGCTGAACAAAGTCCACATTTCCCATAACCAACCTGGACCACGTGTCTGATAGAACCAATTACTACAGGTTTATCAGACTCTGCTTCTTCATCCAAAATCTCCTCCATGCCCCAGAGACCAGAGAGTTCCAATTCACCTTCTTCTAGAGCAATGGAATGCCCTTCAAAATTGGCTTTCTCATACAAAATCCAACTGAGAACAAAACACAGAAAAACCATTATCTGTCACATTGAGGCAGGTGTGATTACTTCCTATTACAAATAAAATTGTCTTATAAACTTTGTTTTTAGCATACTTTTCTGATGGGTGATGTCTTTCTGTATATATGTTTCTCTTATTGGTTGATGAATAAAACACTGTTGGCTTATAAGGCAGGAAGATAGGTGGGACTAGGAGCTGAGAATTCTGGGAAAAGTAGGTGGAGAGAGCCAGCCAGAAACAGGTGCCATTTAGGCCTCCAAAGGAGTAACAGGTCTGGGCATTCTCCGGTAAGCCAAGACCACATAAATAATACATGTTTAGTAGTTATGGATTAATAATTAAGATGGAGCTAGCCAATAAGAAGCCCTAGACACTGGCCAACAGTTTTATAATTAATATAAGTCTCTCTGTGATCATTTGGGGTTGAGGCAGCTGAAGAACCAGGCAGGAAAGAAAACAACCTCAACAATTTCCAGTCTTCTAATTTGATAATGAAAGTACATTTTACTTTTCTAGTGAATATGTTCATTATTTAGAAACGGATATTAAAACATTAAGAGTCCCATTAGAAAAGATGTTGCATAACTAGTCAGATGGAAATTTAAAAAAGCATGACTAACTTTTTAGGTCATAGCTGGGTCTGGTGGTATACATCTGTCCTTCCAGCTACTCCAGATGCAGAGACAGAAGGACCGCAAGCCCTGTGTACATAGTGAGATCCTGTCTCAATTTTTTAAATTGATGCGCTTGTATGTGCCTGTTCACATGAACTGTGACCCCAAGTGGTGACCAGAGAGCTCTTGCGGAAGTCCATTCTCTTCCAGTATCTTGTGTGTCCGAGGAATAGAACTTGGTTCACCAAGCTTTGTGGCAAGGACCTCCACCCACTGAACCAGCTTGCCAGATTTGGGATGAGTGTGTGCCTGTGTTCATGCATGCATGCATGCATGCATGCAGTCTGTGTGTGAGAAAGACTGGGTCTTGATACATAAGTCCAGACTGGCTGGGGACTCAGAGCAACTCTCTTTTAGCTTCCCGAGTGCTAGAATTAAAGACATGAGCCATCACATCCAGCTTCGCTTATAGGTTTTTAACAAGTTTAAAAAAAGATATACTGCCTTTTACATGTTTGGATTCTGTATTTTGCCTGCAAGTATGTCTGGGCACTGTGTGCCTGCAGTATCTGCAGAGGCCAGAAGAGGATGATGGATCTCATGGAACTGGAATTACAGTGTTGAGCAGAGATGTGGGTACTGGAAACCAAACCCGGGTCCTCTAGAAGAGCTGAGAATAGTCCTCACTGCTAAGACAATGCTCCAGTCCCCAAATGCAATTCTCACCAACCTCATTAGATACCATGAGATACTCATGAGTCAAAACCATATGACTGGCCCCAATATATCCAAAGCAATGTTATGTGGAGATATATGGGGAAAGTTAGTTTGTTCTACTGTATTTTTCTGATTTGTCTATCATAAACATATATCACTTTTGTAATAAAACCATGTGCTAGACACTTGTTCCTTACTTACCACCAACAGTGTTGTAAGTTATTTATGCTGATAAAAATAGTGAGGTCCAAGTAGTAATTGAGAAAGCCAGACACCTGTGATAACCTGTCCTTGGAATGCACCTTAACACCCACTGTAAGCTAAGCCTGGAGTGTACTCTAACACCCCTGTAAGCTAAGGCTGCGGTACACTGTAACACCCCTGTAAGCTAAACCTGCAGTGCACCCTAACACCCCTGTAAGCTAAGCCTGGAGTGTACCCTAACACTCCCATAAGGTAAGCCTGGAGTGTACTGTAACACCCCTGTAAGCTAAGCCTGCAGTGCACTGTAACACCACTGTAAGCTAAGCCTGCAGTGCACTGTAACACCACTGTAAGCTAAGCCTGCAGTGCACTGTAACACCCCTGTAAGCTAAGCCTGCAGTGCACCCTAACACCCCTGTAAGCTAAGGCTGCAGTGCACTGTAACACCCCTGTAAGCCAAGGGTGCAGTGCACCATAACACCCCTGTAAGCTAAGCCTGCAGTGCACCCTAACACCCCTGTATGCTAAGCCTGCAGAGCACCCTAACACCCCTGTAAGCTAAGGCTGCAGTGCACTGTAACACCCCTGTAAGCTAAGGCTGCAGTGCACTGTAACACCCCTGTAAGCTAAGGCTGCAGTGCACTGTAACACCCCTGTAAGCTAAGGCTGCAGTGCACTGTAACACCCTGTAAGCCAAGGCTGAGTGCACTGTAACACCCCTGTAAGCCAAGCCTGCAGTGCACCCTAACACCCCTGTAAGCTAAGGCTGCAGTGCACTGTAACACCCCTGTAAGCTAAGGCTGCAGTGCAGTCTTACCATCCTCTGACAACTTTCACCAGTATCACTGGAGAGAGGCGCCAAGAACTGCAGTCTTCGATGTCCCTGAACACCTCGATGCACTCCTCGGAGATGTCAGGCTCACTGAATATCACGATCTGCAAGAAAATGGAAGTGGCAGCTTTTGTCTCCCTTCAGCAGATCAAGAGAGAATCTGGACCAGAAATGAAATAACCTTACCTTCCCTGGCCGAGGATTGAGTTTACTATGTACACTTCCTCTAAGAGTCTGCAATCAGAGGAACAAAACAGTAAATGATTACAGCATTACAGGGCAGCTGTCCTTCTGCACCTGAGCCCCTTTCAGTCAGAGCATATTAATTCACCATTTACCAGTACTGAAGCAATACACCTCGCTTTACACTCAAGTTATGTTAGTGTTCTCTTGGAATTCACATAATTAAATTACAAGATTGTCTAAATAAGTTTGCCATTCTAGCTCCTACTCATTTAAATATCTAGAGTATTTCCACCAGTACTAGAAAATTCAGGGCCCCAAAGTCAGAACTATGCTTTACATCAATTCACCGAAAAAGAACCAACCAGATTGACTTCAAAGAATCTGAGTAATCTCCAATTAAAAAAGAAAAAAAGAACAAAGAAAGAAACTGAACACATTAGTCATCAATTTAGAAAGAAGTGGATTTGATGCGTTCATGTGCACGATCTCCTTAGATCTATACACACTGTGTTGCCATAGTAACTTCTCCACCACGGAACAAGTACTAGTGTAAATGAGAGTGTGCATGGCAGGGCCCGGAGCCCTTTCCTGCAAAAGAAGCTACAAGAAAGGATGAGGCAAGAGGATGGAAAACCCAAGGACCGCCTGAGAAACAAAGTGTACATTCAGTGACTACTTAGTATCAAAACAAAAAAATCAAAAGAGGGTCAGGGATGTGGCACAATGGAAGAACACTCACCTAGCGTGGCCAAGGCTGTGAGTTCAATTCCCAAGTCAGCAAGAGAAAAAGGAAAAAAGAGGAGGCATAATATATTTCACACTATACATGGCACATGGTAATTTTTTAAGGTTTATCTATTTTGTGTGTATGAATGGCTTTTCCTGCGTGTATGCAGGTGTGCCATGTGTCCATGGAAGTCACAAGTGGGTATTGGCTCTCCTGGAACTGAAGGTACCAATGGTTGTGAGCCACCATGCGTTTGCAGGGAACTGAACTCGGGTCTTCTGCAACAGCACCAGTGCTCATAGCCACCTCACCAATCCTGCAAATAGTATTTTTAATCTCCCTGTTTTGATGGACAAAGCACCTTTTTATAAGGCTTCAGAAGTAATCATTTTCAAGATTACCTGACAAGACCAGTAAAACCCGTAATGTGCAAGATAGTAAAAATAATAATTATACATGTGAAATCTTACAAAATATGGGCTACTTCCATGCTGAGCTGCCTCTCCCGGGGCCTGCCTTTGACTCACCCTCTTGCCTCACATCAGTGGACTATGGCCACAAGGCCTGGCAAGGCCCTCTGTGTGCATAATTGGAAACGAAAACAGGGAGTGATCATTTGCTGCATGCACACATGAGAGTCAGTAAACTGAAGCAAAAAAAAAAAACCTAAAATTTAGAACAGAAGCCAAGAAATACATTAAAAATAAACTACAATGAGGAAAGCCTAAGACCCAAAGAGAGACATTTTGAAAAAAAATTATAAAAATCCTAGAAGTCAGCAAGTCAGCAAAACTATTTTTTCTTTTATGCAGTATGACTTGGCTTCGGAGAGAAATGACTTTTTCCTGTTTTGTGTGTGTGTGTATGTGTGTGTGTGTGTGTGTGTGTGTGTGTGTGTGTGTGTGTAGACCTGAGGCTGACTTTGGGGAGTGTCATCTATCACTTTATGTATCCCCTTATATATTGAGGCAAGGACTCCCAATTGGATCCACAGCTCACCAATAGGACTAGTCTAGCCAATAGGCTGGCTCTGGGGACCTTGTTTCTATCCTGCCCAGCACTGGAATTACAGGTGGGTCATGGAACACCCACACTTGCATGGGTTCTGGAGATCCAACCAGTCTTGCAAAGCAACTACTTTAACACCTCAGTCATCTCCCCAGCCTGAGAAAAACTATCTTTAAAAAGCAGATTCTATCAGGTTATAGACAAGTAATAAAAGAGATAAGAATAACAGAACAAAGGCATAATGAATGGGAAATGGACTGGCAGAAATTTTGTGCCTGAGAGACATTGGTTTTGCTTTTGTTTTTTTGAGAAAAGTTTTAGGATTTCTATGTGGTACATGTAGATTGTCAAAAGGTAATGAAAATGCCCCAGGAGACTAGTCCTATATCCCGGTTCCATCCAAAGATTGAAGCACAAAGAAGGCACGTTCAAGGCCATCCCAGGTAAATTAGTGAGGATGTTAAGGAAAAGGGAGGCTGGAGACTTTAGTAGGCACATGTGTAGCTCTGGGCTCATTCCCTGTGCTGGGGGCGGGGAGGTTTGTTCCCAGGAGCTTTTCATGGTGCCCCATGAGTTCAAAGCTATTTTCACAGTAACAGAACATTATCTGTGCTTTCTGCTTTTCCTCTGTAAGGCATTCCATCACTCTGAAGGCTACAGGACCTGCACATCTGTTCTCTGATGGTTTAAGTTCCCAGGACCAAGTTTTAACACAGGTACACTGCCCAAATAAACCAAAGCTCTTTGAATTCTCAATCTTTAAAAGAAAGTGGGTCCTAAGACCAAAAGTCTGAAACCCACTAGTTCACAAAATCATTGGAAATGGATCGATCTGTATATAGCACTGCTGAAAACGTGTGTGTGTGTGTGTGTGTGTGTGTGTGTGTGTGTGTGTGTGTGTGTGTGTGTGTTAGACAGAGACTTGCTATATAGTTCAGGCAGGCCTCTGAACTTTCCAACTTCCTGCATGCTATGATTGCAGACAGGCTTCAACACAACTAGCCAACGATATTATTTTGCAAGTGCCTCCAAAATCACAGTCCATGATGGGATTACAGAAAAAGCCATCACTACTCACTGCCTCTACAGCGCCCTGCTCAGTAGGAGTGTGCCAGGTCTTTTCTGTGGTCATGCCTCCACTTGCCTGGCAGCTGGCTCACAGCTGGGCCACTGCAAAGCAAGTTCCATGTACAATCCCCCTTAGCTTAAAAAGCAGGTTTGGAAGCAGAAGGGCACAAATTAGCATGAAAACAACTCCTGGGCCCCTGAGTGGCTCAGCAGCAGTGTGCTTGGCAAAAAGGGCCCTAAATTCCCTCTTTGGGGCCAGCAAAGAAAGAGAAAGGCAGCCAGATCACAGAGAGAAAAAAAATCGAAGTTGCATTTTGCAGTTCCCTCTATGAACCAAGGGAAAGGCCCCATGCAAACCAAACTTTAGGCTCCAAACTTGAAGTTCCATTTAGGTACTTCCCATCTCCCCGGGATGAACACTGATGCTTATGGAGGGATGAGTGAAACCCCGCAGCACTGGAGGAAGGAGAAGGGGAGGTGCTTTGGCAGGGTGGGGCCTTGGCAAATAGAGGAAGTTGTTTCACACATCTTCAAAACTCTAAACATAGCACAGGCGAGTGTTTTGACAGAGAAGAAAACGGTTCTGGGTCTCTGAACTTTTCTCTACACTTTTCACAGCACAGAAGTTCAAGAATGCCTGAAACACATAACTTATTCTCCCCGCTGGACCACAAGTGTCTTGGGGTAGGGGTGGGGGTATCTTGGTGTCTGTTTTTCCGTGGAGTCTCTGAGTTCCTTGTACACAGATTTAAAAGTACTTGGTAAAAAGGGGGGGCGGGGAAGATGGTGGTGGCACAGGCCTTTAATCTCAGCACCAGGAGGCAGAAGCAGGTGGATCTCTGTGAGTTTGAAGCCAGCCCGGTCTACAGAGAGAGTTCTAAGACAGCCTATACAAAGAAACACTGTCTCAAAAACAAAATAACAAAACCCCCCTAATAACAAAAATAAAACTAAACAAAACTACAAGGTGAGCAAATGGGAGGCTATCACACACAACCACGTGTAAAGCATGGCCCGAGCATCTCCCTGCCTCCTAGGTTTAGAAACACCCAACTAAATAACAGTTGGTACTTACCATAGAATCTGATAATGACATTCCAGAAAAAGAAAGGCCTGGGTCGTACCGGTTGGGTTTCAAAAGGCCCAAGAAATCCGTGTCAGTGGCCCCCATGTTCGGCACGTTTGACTTGAGAACACTTTCGACAGGCTTTTCCATGTCATCACTGTTCTTCAGTGTGGGTAAGTCAGAACGTTTGCAATCTGGCAAGGGTAGGTTGCTCCGAGACCTCAAATCTTCCCCAGTCTCCTCTTTCTGTGGGCACTTCTCCATGTGGCTTGGACTTTTCAAACCCAGACGAGATGTATCTGATGAGTTGAAATTGAAGACCTTTAAGGAGTTGTTCGGTGCAAGATGTGGTTGGTCTTTGTCTGAGCCACAGGGCGGGTCACCCTCCTTCCTGGGCTGTACCAACGAAGACTGAGATACAGATCTGTTCTGGGAAGTGCTAAAAGATGTGGTCATGGTGTTGACTGACGTCACAGAGGGAGAAAAGATTTTGTCTTGTGGCAGAGAAGAGAGCATGCTGGAGAAAAGCGTGCTTTTTTCTAGCCTTGATCTCTTCACACCACAGTTGGTGATGCCCCTGTTCTCTTTGTCATCCGAGGCTGTCTGAGGCTCACTCTTCCCATTGGTGTTAGCATGCAAGGACTTGAAGAGGACACTCTGTTCAGTGGATGCTCGCTTTGCTCTCAGTTTGGAAAGTGGGTCATGATTCTGCGTCAGACACAAGGCTGGTGACATTTCTGGTTGGCTCTCCTTCTTCTTCCCCAGGCCGACGGTAAACACACTGGGATCAAACACCTTTTCTAAACTGTCCTCGTGAATCGGAGGCATGGCAAAGTGAGGGGCTGGAGAGTTTGGGATCCGGGCCTTCTTTTTTTTCTGGGGCACGCATACTGTGCTGTCCATATTTTTAATAATCTCAGTGAATTTTTCCATATCAGAAGAAGAATCAAAGACACTATCGTCACTACTAACAGAAATGTTCAAAAGACTGGTAGGGGTACTCTGACTGGTGCCATTTTGTCCTGGCCTTTGGGGACTTTCTGAATGACGTTTGCTGCTGGGAGAGTGGATGGGGCTGAACTCGGCTGTCAAGGATGTCCTGCTGCTCTGACTTGGAGCCTGGACAGGCAGAGCCTTTGTGGGTTCTGGCTGTATGATGTGTGGGCGAGACTGTGTCACATGCTCTTCTGTACAATGGGTGTGCGCAGGTGATGTGCCAGGTACATCCTCCTGCTGGGGAGCACAAGGAGCAACAGAAACTACTTCAAGGTCATTGTTGTGACAACTTGGCAGCTGCACCTCTCTAACTTCGGAGCTTTCTGAGATGACCTGGGAGCTCACATCCTGAGGGCTCTCCACAGGAAGAACAAAGGACCGGACCTGGACGAGGACCTTGGATGGACACTCATTCCCCACAGTTTCTGAGCTGTGATCTGGGGATGAGGTGGGGCTGGCTTCTCCCGCTCCAAGTTTGGAGGCTGGCTCTTTCTCAGTGGGAGGAGATACTGGCAAATCACATTCATTGTGGTTTTCAGACACTTTTAGATCCGGGCATGGAAAACTGCGTACGGAAACTTGAACGCAGCCGTCTTGAAAAGCATCCTCGGGAATGGGAGCAGGAGGCAGGAGAGAAGACTCCCTAGATGACCCAGATGCGGGCTGTGAGTCAGAAAATGCACCCTGTGGCTTTGGAGGAGACTCTCTGGCATTAAGAATGGCGGGGATGTCCTGTGCAGTATCACTCATGTTGTCAAGTACAAGGTTTTTGCTGTCAGCAGCCTCTGGGTGGAGCTCTCCTGAGAGCTCAGAGTCCTCGGCAGGAATCCCAGCAGTGGGCACTGGCTGTGCACGACAGGCAGCATCTGTTTGCACATCTGCCTTATCACTTTGATTAGGCTCAGGGCAATGGACCTGATCCTCCATGGGCTCTCCTCCCCCTCCCCTGGAGGTTGGCAGAATCTCTTCTCTGGGGCTAGGGACTTCCGAACCTTTGGCATCTGTGGATGCCTCCTTGGTCACCAGGCCATTCTGGTGGCTGGTTGATAAGGCTTTCTTTTCAGGTTGCTCCATTTCTTTGGCTTTCTTGGCTAAGTTTAGCTTAGCTCTCCCAACAAATGTCTTATTAGAGGGAGGATTGTTCCTTGTGTTGCGGATGTCGGGGTGTCTAGGGCTATTGTTAGCCCGCTTGTTTTCAAATAAGGAGATTTTGTTGGCAGTGTTTCCTTTATGAACTGGCTGGCTAAACGGATTGTGCTCATTGCCCAAACTGTCAGGGTTCTTTGGGGTTTTCAGATTTAGTTCCACATTTTTAGGTCTAGCAGGACTGCAAGAAAAAAGCAATGGGGGAGTTAGCCGCCAGCCTGGTGTTAAGTGAACATGTAAACCAGCTCACGAAAGACTACATTCTTCGTATCCTCCAGGTGTATATTTGCTTTTCCACGAAACTTCTTAAACAATCCTACAAATATTAGGATGTATATTCGACAGAAGAGATTATAAATCTAAGAAACTATTAACTTACCAAGTATTAACATGCATTCACAGTGACTGGCAATTAATTAATACACATTCACAATGATTGTCAATTGGATTGAAAGATACTATAAAGTATAAGGAACGTTACAACAAATTTAAATATTTAATGTATCCCCATATTTTCAATATGTAGATGAGTTTCCCAGACATCAATTATGCATTTTTGTCTACTGTAATGTTTTATTCACCTTTAGTTTTGGGGGACAAGGTGCCATGTGGTTCAGGCAGGCCTGGAGCTCACTGTTTGGCTGAAGACAACCTTGAATTCTTCATCTTCCTGCCTCCACCTCCCAAGTGCTAGGTTATAGGCAGGAGCCACCAGGCCCAACCTTCTGATAACCTTTTAAAAATTATCTTGTGGAGAGGAAAGAAGTGATGGTTCAGTGGTTAAGAGCACTGGCTCTTAACTGAGTTTGATACCCAGCACCTACATGGCAACTCAAAAACAACTATAACTCCAGTTCCAGGGGAAATCCAACATCCTTTCCTGGTCTCTGTGGGCACTGCATGCATGTAATCACATGTAGGCCAAGCACCCATACACATAAAATTAAAATTTTAAAAATAAAAACAATTGCCAGGCAGTGGTGGCTTTAATCCTAGCACTCAGGAGGCAGAGGCAGGCGGATCTCTGTGAGTTTGAAGCCAGGCTGGACTGACAGCCTCCAAAACAATACAGAGAAACCCTGTCTCGTAAAACCAAAAAAAATAAAAAATAAAAACAATTACAAACTTACTGTTAAAAAGCTAATTTAAAAGTAGAGTATAAAACATATTCACCTAGTATTGCCTCTTAGGATATTTTGTTTCTGTCATTCTGCCATCCATCCCCTTAAAATTTTTCTGATGTATGTGTGTTCAATATCTGAAATTTGTAAAGTATATGTGTATATTTTACCCCCCCTGTGTGTGTGTGTGTACTGAAATTTGTAAAGTATATGTGAATATTTTTACCCCTCTCTCTCTCTCTGTCCCCCCTTCTGTGTGTGTATGTGTGTGTGTGTGTGCGTGCGCGCGCGCACACACGCACGCGCGTGCACGCCTGTGCGAATTCAGAGGACAACCATGGGTGTCATATCTGTGTCTTGTTGAGGCATAGCCTCTGGATGTTCACCACTGCACACACCATGCTATCAGGCCTGGAAGTCACCAGGCCTTTCTTGACTTCACCTTCTACCTTGATATAGGAGTGTTGAGATTGCAGACACACCCCCATGACCAGCTTTTATATGGGTCTTGGAACTCAAGTCCCTACTCTGTACCCACCAAGCTGTCTCTCCAGACCTGGAAAGTGTTTTTAAATCATTCATAAACCTGCTGTCAACATTCTGCCTCATTCCCAACGGCTTCCTATGCATAAATATTTTACTAGAATGGAAACTGCTGTGTTCATGGGGCTTGACAGCTTGCCTCTTGCTAAGAAAAGGGATGAATTATCATCATAACTGACAAGTCCTTGAGATTTTTTTCCTTAAAAAGCTTTTTTTAAATGTTTGTGTAAGATGCCATCATATGGCTATAACATAATTTGTTTACTCTCGGGCAGTTGCCCTCTCCTTCACATTTCTCAGGTCTAAGTACTTGCTGTGGGAAATAATGCCTTTGAATGGACACAGTGTGCTCTTTCACAGAACCGAATGTGTTCTCTTGGCATTTGCAGGCCCTGGCCACAGCCCTGGCTCTCACGCCAATATCCATAAGGACTTAGCCAAATTATTTTATATCTCTGGCCTATTCTGTTTTGTATCTGTAACTTAAAAGGTAACACTAAACACCTACATGGTTTGGAGCACAGTTATTTTTATTTCACCCAAAACTAATGGTTAAGGGAATTTTTGGACCTCCCCTAAGGGGTTACACTAGGGCTAAGAGAGGCTGTAGGACCGGGAGGGTCCCCATAGAAGCTTTCAGTCAAGATCATTCCCACTTTTCTATTTTATGACGCACTCTATGTAAGTGTTCCTGGGGCAGTCAAAGGGGCTTGTAGTAAAAGAAAACCACGGCTCTCCAGGCACTTGACAGTTACATCATTTGGTTTAACCCGTGTACAGCTTGTATGTTCTGTTCCAAGTCAAGAAAACTGAGGTACAGAGAAAGGAAAGGACTCTCCTGAAGTCATATAGCTAGTGACAGGCCCTCCATCTGAGGCAGGCGCTTTGTCCCGGACACATTATTCCATGTTACCCTGCTTCCCCATTAGGGGTCAGAGAAGACAGACCTGAGTAATCCCTCAGCTGCTTTCCATAGTATCACTGGGGTGGGGGTAGGGGTAGGTAGTGAACTTGGGGAAGATTGGGGAATACACGGGGTGAGGGGGGTAAGAGTTCGGTGTGCTATCAGGTTTATCAGACAAGGAAATCCCAAGCTCTACAGATTGGTGTTACACACCTCACAGCCCCCAAGAAGGTGGGACCTGCTGAGCCCCCAGAGGGATAAAACGAGAAGCCCAGGTTAGATATCTGAGTTGACATATGCTCATAAATTTCTCCTGGCACTGCGTTCCCTGTTATCTTCATAATGCCCAGACTTTCTTATTGCCAGCTCACATCTTAAGCTTAAGAGGCAAATAAAAGCCAGACTTGGTGGCCACTGCCTGTAATCTGGAGGCAGGAGAATCACAAGTCCAAGGTCACCCTTGGCAACCAGAGTGAGTTGGAGGCCAGCTTAGGCTACATGAGACCCTGTCTCAAAAAAATAAAAACAGAAAAGCAAGCTTCAGGACTGAAGAAACACATGTTTCTCAAGTGCTGTGTTAATTAATGAGTAAAGGTGACATCCCTGGAATAAAGATATATATATATATATATATATATATATATATATATATATATATAAATGTGTCCAGTCAGCACAAAAAGGTGTACAGCAGGGGACATCAAAGTACATCTGGGATGCCAACAGGAAGCACTACAGGTAAGCCCATGGCTCCTGGAGGGTAGGAAGCATGTCTGCTTATTAAAGATTTACACCGGATCAAAGCATCTTTTACAACTCAAGCTCTCTACCATTAAGCTGTGCTACCAAGAGTCAGTGCAATTAACCCAGCTGGGGCTGATTAAAAGGAAGGCTCCTATAATTCGTGTTGTAATGCTTTCATTATGACGTGAGAGGGAGTCCAAAGGGCCAATGAACTATAAAAGGAATGAAGAATTCAGTCATCATTTTTCAGGTGATAGGCTTTTTTTTTTTAGCTCTTTGATCAGACACCCCACCTCCACCCCCCAAGCCAGGTTTACATCTGTAGTTCTGTAAAGTAGCAGAAAGGCCTTGAGTTCCAGGCCAACCTGGGCTACGTGATGATCTTGGAGCCACCCTGGGCTATACGGTGAGCCCATCAAAGAACCTAATCACAGTCTGTCAATATCTTTGCCTAATATACAGCCATAACAGGACTAAAGGGTCTGAAAGCCCCTGTCAGGCCAAAGAAGAACTAGATAAAATTTTCCACTCCAATAATTTGCCGTTCATCAATGTAAGGCATGAAACAAATTTAAATAACATGAGTGACAAAGAAAAACAAAAATAATCAGTGGTGAGAAAAAAGACACATGGCTCAGTTTTGGTAGGAGGAAGACCCAGAGAAGAGTTCCATTGTCAGATCCCTTCCTGAACTTGTTTTCAGTGTAACTTTTCTGGTTTTTCCACTGCTGTCTTCTGATTGGATGACAGGTGGAGCGTCCTGCCGCTTCTCTCAGCCAGACTTAGCAGGTTTCTGTGTTCCCTCACACTGGTCTTCCACAAATAATGGGCATCATTCAAGCAGGTTACTTTCCTGACGCTACCGTTACAGAATAAACAGCTCATTATGTCAAAGGTCTCCAGGCTGCCAGCTGGTGAGGTAGTTCAACGTTATTCATTAAGTACATTTCCCTGCTGGCTTCCAAACAGACCTCTTTCAATTTTAAGAAGTCCAATAGAATGAAACCGTTCAGTTCAAAACGGCAAGGCAGCAAATGACTGGTCTTTTTGATCAATGTGTGAATCAACGTAGGAAAATTTGAACACTCAATAATTTTCACCTGCTGGGGGCGATCAGTTCCATAGAGCGCCCTCCCTGTCTTGTCCTAGCCGCACAAATCAGTGACCATCAAGCCACAGCTGGGGCTCCTGTACTTCCAGAACCCTTAAGATAGCAAAATACACTTGGACCATCTTTGATTTGTGGGCTTCTTGCTGCCACAAGGGAGGCATAAACGTTGAGGACAACAGACTGAATCACAGGTGTGAGTCATGGCCCCCCATGGCACACAGCACAAAGGGCACTCAATAAATACTTTCGAAATTGCTAAACTTAAGAGAGCACAGATACAGTTGGTTGTTTGCGTCCTTTCACTTAGGCAGTTTTCAGAAATAACAGCGATCATCTCAATAACAGAAAAGTTATTTCCAGCCCAGAAACAAAAATACCATCAGGCTCCCTAGATCACAGAAGGCGGAATTATTAGAGCCTTCCTTTCAGCTTACTTTGGACAACAATGTACTAACTTCATTAAACGTTCTCAAAAAGTCTCCCTTGTCAAAGCCACTAGGTCACACTCAAAATACTGCTGGCTCCCTGTACACTTTGGATAAAGAATATAATTAGCTAAATCAAGCGGTTAAGTCTTATCATTTCTGTTTATATAAACACCGCGCCTCAAGGTATATCTTGTTTTTGCATTCATTTTAAATCTTAAATTAAAGCAGGAATTAACAGTGGAGGCTGCCAAAAATGTGTCATACTCTAACCCTTAGCTCTGCAAACAGATCCTTCTCTCTTTGAAGTTTTCAACAGGAAAAAAAATATGGGCTACAGACAGTCGTACAACCCTGAGCAGCCAGCCCCCTGCACAGACCGACACCGCAGCTACTTACAGGGTCACTTTAGTGGTCACAGTGGACCTGCCCACACCGAAATGGTTCCTGGGCTTCAGGCCTTCGGCGTCCGACGCTCCTGCTCCCCTGGCCGACTCTCGGCTGCGGCCCCCGTCGCCCCGGCCGTCGAAGTGGTGGGGCAGCGGGCCCCTCTTGTGCTCCGGCTTGATCTCGGGCAGCAGCGAGCTGCTCCGGACCGTGAGCTCGCGCGGGACGACGCGGCCCGCCTCCTCCCCGCCGTCCGCCGCGGCTGGCGCCCTCTTGGGTGGAGACTCCTTGGCGGGAGCGCGCGGGCCGCTGCTGGGCACCGCCTCGGGGACGCGGCTGCGACCCCTCCGCTTGGTGGGCGACGAGGCGGGGGTCAGCTGCTTGCCGCGGTCCGGCTCCCCTCGGAGCTGTCCCCGGGGGCCGGCGCTGGGTTTGGGCTCCGGACTGGCGGCGGAGGCTGCGCCCGCGTCGGGAGTCGCGAGTGCGGATTTCACTTTCCCTTCCGCCGGGCCGTTCTCAGCGGCCGCGTCTGGCGCCACCTCGTCGTTGAACACCGCGTCGTCCTTGACCGCGCTCTCAGGCGCCGCGGCGTCCGCGCCTGGGGATTCGGTGGACTTTTGCGACTTCCTCCGCCGGCCCGACCGGCGGCCGCTTGACCTCCTCTCCATGTCGTCCGAATCGTCGCAATCGTCTGTCCCCGGAGCTATAGGGCCCGGCTCGTCCACCTGCGCCACCTCAGTCTTGCTCAAGTAGATGTCCAAAGTTAGCACCTTGGAGGGTTGCGCGCGGTCGACGGAGAGGGCTGTGCGGCTGGTCTCTGCGCTCAGGGAGGGAGGGTCACCTGGAGCAACCGCGTCCCCGGGGGCCCCCAGAGAGCCCACTTCGGCACCCACGCCAGGGGCTCTGGCGGGGGCCTCTCCAAGTCCTCCCACGAGGCGCTCCTCAGGTGGCGACCCCGACACACCCCTCGCTGTCTCTGGTTGGAGGCCAGCAGCGCCTGGCAACGCGTCCTCCCCCGGACTGCGGGCGGGCGTCTCTGCGCTCTCCTGCCCCGAGCAATTCCCCGGTGAGGAATGCGGCTCCTTGGCAGCGGTGGTGGCATTTGGGAAAGTTTCTCCCTCTGCCTGCAGAGGTTCTAATTGGACTGAATCACTGTCGTGGCTCTGCTGCACAACCCCTACACTGCTGCTGGAGCAAGGTGACAGTTCGACGTCGCAGGGGGTTGTCTGAACAAAGCTTTCTGCTGGCTGGCCTGCCACCTGCCCGGAGCCCGCATTGGTTGGCTTTGGTTGACTACCCTGAGCCTTAGTTTTCTCACTCTCTGTTTCAGAGAGTTTAGCAGGGACCGATTTGGTATTTGAGTTGGTGGGACTCTCTAACCCGTTCCTGCTGTTCCTTCTCCTTCCAGCCGTAAAAAGAGTGCCAAGTTTCCCCAACACTGGCTTCCTTCTGGTGTCTTCTGGTGGTTGTGCTCTGGACTGGAAAATAAAAGGAGACGGGGAGAGAAAACATGAGAATCCGTTTCGTTCCCCTTTGGTATGTTACAAAACTGCTGGGAACCAATTTGGCAATGGATCAGGTGTAACTGAAAATGAAAAGATAGAGCCAGCCAGGTGTGGTGGCACACAGGCGTCTGGTCTTTATTATATTCTAACTAACTATATATACACACATATGTACACACACACGCGCGCACAGTGTCTCACTATGTAGTTCTGGCTGTCCTAGAAATCATATAGAGCAGGTTGGCCTTGAACTCACAAAGACCCGCCTGCTTCTGCCCACTAGATGCTGGAGTTAAAGGCGTGCATGTACCACCACATGGCTAAATTTAGCATGACTAAATTTCTTTTTCTTGTACTTTTGGTTGTGAGCCTAGCCTTTAACAGGTGAGCCATCTCTCCTGCCCTAAATTTCTTAACACATTTTCGAAGCTACATTACTTAGAATAGTATTCTATTACAAATGTTTTTAATCCGAAAAGTTCAAATATCACATGTATACAGTAAACAATTCCCAGCTCTCAAGGGCTTCTGCTTTTTATCTTCTTCCTTAATAAAAATGCAAATTTAAGGAGCCAGGCACGACTTCGGGGCCCGCGGTTCACCCCCAAATATCTGAGGGAGGAATTTTTACAGAAACATCCCCCTTTCTTTTTGGGAGGGGTGGATTGGAAGTGACACAATGGAAAACAACAGGAAACACCTGGCTTACCTTTAAGCAAAGGTGCAGGAATGCAGCACCTGGCTCCGCCCTGCGGGACGCTCACCCAATGGGGCCCGCGTGCTTTGCGTTTAAACCGCGCGGGCCGCAGAGCGCTGTCCCGCCTCTTCCCAGCTCAACCCGAGGCTTCACCTGGGAGTCTGTGTACCGGGCTGAAGGGGAGGGGCAGGCAGCGGGCACCGCCCACGGAGGGAGGAACGTGGAAAGCCAGCCGAGCTGACACAGCCTGGGGAGCTACAACCCGCACCGGGAGTTGCAAATGGATGAAAGCTGCAAGCTAGCCCCGCAGAGGGGGTTGTGGGGCTGGAAAGGGGAGGTAGCCGAGAGCCGCTCTTGGCTCCCAGGTAGCTTGTGTACAGGGTCAACTCACCACAATTCCCTACCTAAGGACAGTCCCTTAAGAGCCAAACCATAAACTAAGATCCCAGGTGAGAGCCCCACCTTTCTTTGCTACAGGGTGAGCGTTAGTTCAGGATGGTACTGATTCTCCACTGAGGGAGATCATTTCTTCTGCGCTACAAAAGCAGCCAAGGGAGTTCGGGGATTGCCGGAAGTGTAAAAAACCTGGGTAATACGTGCATGCGATCAAGAGTCAACACGAATCTGTTGAGACAGTCTGGCAGCGTTATGTCGTGTAACCCGGTTGCTGTCTACTGAGGAAGTGTGTTACCTACAGTAGATGGGGAAAAGATGTCCAAAGGCTGGGACCAACGCAAAATGTACTGGGGCCAAGGGCGATAAAGTCAGAATTCAAACCCATGCCCTCCAGTTCCAACCAGTGCCCCATCTAGTCTATTACAGAGGACCCTCAGGTGTAGAGGGAACCCGTGAACCCGAGTGGCCCCAGATAAAAACTCCAGACCCCCTGGACCCAGACCACAGTCAGGACTCCAGGGGAGGCGCTGAGGAGGAGAGACGGTTCATCAGAGCTGCAACAGAGGCACAGATACAGGAAGGCACCCAGAGCTCTCGGGACTGACGGGATATGCTTCTAAAATCTACCCAGATTTAGCTTAGTTCAGTTCTATGGTGCTTATGAAAATAATAGAGGAAGAAATGGATATGGCTTACAAACTACATAAGGCATTTTGGCATCCTAAAGAAACTATTTTTTTTTCTTAAACACGATTTCCAAGTATAATACCTCCCCACTGAGATCTGCTTAGGTACTAGACACAAAGTGATTTACACACTCATCTTTCCAACAGCCCTTTCCAAAGCCTCATAGCTGGAAAGTCCTTCTGAGTCTGAAAATAGAGTCCTTTGTTTCTGTGCCTGGACGGGCCATCAAGCATACCCTGAAGAAGTAGACAGGAAAACAGGCTTGAGTCTATTGGCTCAGTTCCAGTCCCTGTCAAAATTAAACAACGAGTGTATATATCATTCTGTCCTACCAGTGATGTTGCAATCCATCTTTCCCATGCTGAGAAGATGCCTGGTCAGCAGCCCTCTATTTTCTGCAAGTGTCCCCGCCCCAAACCCTAGATCTTAGTTGTAGTTGCTTTTTATAAAGCCAGTGGCTTGCTCTTCAACTTGATTATCAACTCTTTGATCTCTGATACCCCAGAGAAACACCCTATTTTTACTTTTGGGAACAGTGCTGTTGAATTTTCGAGAATTTCATAGTTTTGGTTTGCTTATACTAGTACTTTTATTACAACTCTTTCAGAAGAGCCCAAACTCTACATCAAGTGGTGAATGGATAAACAATGGTGATACATCTACGAAACACATTAGCACTCAATGATAAAAAGACAAGCTTTTGACAAGCGAAGATGTGAATGACTCTCAGAAGCATTATGCTAACTAGAGGTGAGAAAGTAGCCTGCTGACCTAGCGCAGGAATCTCAAAAGAATATAAGGAGATAAATATGAAGACGAGTTTGTCCTGACTTGTATATGTAAGTTATATCTTAATAAAGTTGTTTTAAAGTAAAGCTTTCCCCTGGGAAGTAAAGGACACATGGTTTGTGTCAAGTGCACAGTTCAGTTTTTACTGGATGGGGAGTGTGGAGCCCATTCATTCGGTTCAAGGGAAGTCCTCAGTCTTTGAGAACACCTCCTTTCTTCTTCTTCTTTTTTAAAAAAAGATTTATTTATTTATTATGTATACAGTTTTCTGCCTGTACGTATCCATGCAAGCCAGAAGAAGGCATCAGATCTCATTACAGGTGGTTGTGAGCCACCATGTGGTTGCTGGGACTTGAGCTCAGGACCTCTAGAAGAACACTCAGTGCTCTTAACCTCTGAGTCATCTCTCTAGCCCCCAAGTACCTCCTTTCTTAATCAAGTTACACATTTCTTTACAGACAGAGATTGTTTCTGTCCAGTGCTCATGGGGAGGACTGACAGATGAAGAACCAAACCCAGGCAACTTTAGGGTTTAGAATCTTAAACCTAAGGTATGTGGGCACAGACCCTGCACCTTGTCCCTTAGCCCTGCTAGGAAAAATGTTTGCAAAGAAGGTCCTGGGACCTATCAGGATGCTCCATACTCCCTTGAAGTATGCCCGCCCCAACTCTCCTCTCCTGTGGACCTAGGGGTGATCCTGGGGTGCCCTGGTGCTGGATATTCCCAGGGTTTGATGTTCTCAGAGCCTATGCTTTTGGGCTTGGCATTTGTTCTTTTTCTTGGCATTTTGTTCTTCTTTTCTGAATAGATTATATATCTCAATCTATCTATCATCTGTCATTTGTCTAATCTATCTAAGGCTTTACTGTGTGGTTTTAAAAATAGAGAAATTAAAAAAGTTTTATTTGCTTATTTTTCCCCACTGGAATTGAATCCAGGGCCCTGTATAGAGGGAGCCTTTGAGCTATACTGCCCTCCAAAATACAGGCTTAAGCTACTCTAGTCTTCAACAATCAAAAGCAAAAAAAAATTCCTCCAGTAGAGTAAGAAATACCTAGGGCTAAGGAAGTTACTCAGCTTGCCCAGCATGCATGGAACACTGGATCCCACTCCCAGCACTGCCATATACAGTGGGCATAGTGGTGCATGCCAGTTATCCCAGCACTCTGGAAGTATAGGCAGAAAGATCAGGAGTTCAAGCTCATCCTTGACTATACACGGAGTTTGAGGCCAGCCTTGGGTAAATAAGATCCTGTCGATTATTATCTCAGAACCATGTGACAGCTAACTAAAGGACAGAGATAGAGAGCAGGGCATGGAGAGAGAAAAATTCTCTGCAGTTGGGTAGAAAACCTCAGTGTTCTTTGTTGGGGAAACACATATACACATACACATACAAATACACATACATACATACACACACACACACACACACACCACAAAAGCAAAAACAAGAAAGATATTTTACCCTTTAGATTGCTGTTTGGGTTTGGTTTTGACACTGGGTATCACTATGTAGCCATGGCTAGCCTAGTACTTGATACACCTCAGAGTTACAATTAAAATTGCATTTCCCCACACTAAGTATAGAGCTGACCATATCTCAGTACAGAGTCAGAGACAGGAAATTCCATCCAGGGAGGATCCAGATCTAGATCTTATACACTACAGGACTGGCTTTGGCTTAGACACTTAAACCATCACTCATCATGTTGTCTTCCTTCCTGTGTTCCTTGTGCTAATGTATGTGACCCAATCTAAACGTACACAGATAATGCAAAGCAATGAAATGGTCACTAACTAGACTTATTAAGTACTGATATTTTTCATTTTAATTTTTTCTAATATATATAATCCAGGTCCCGTTCTCAGAATATATCCTTAATAATTTTAGCCATTTCTGGAATGAGGGCCTTTGTTTGTTTTAATGGGTTTATGTTTATTTGTTTGGTTGAGTTTTTGTTGTTGTTGTTTTCTTTTTCTTTCTTTCTTTTTTTTTTTGAAGTAGAGTTTCAGTGTATTGCCAAAGTTGATCTCGAACAAAGATGCTCTGTTATTCCATTTAAGCTGTGATAGCGATTTCTCCCAAGATGCTTGCGAACTGGTCAGTGGGAGGCAGACCTCTGATGGAGAAGCTTATGGAGCTGTTCCATGTGACTGTTTTGATCTGTAGTCCAATTCAAATGGTGCAATCTGTAACATGTTAGGCCTTTCTCTCTGTCTTCTCTCCTCAAAGGCTCCCTGAGTGGAATGTTTTCTGGATTGATTGCTCAGCTCTTTCTAATATTAGTTACTGCTTCCAATATCATTTCCATCTCTGCCACTTTTTCCTCTTGTATTTTCTGAGTCTCTTCTACTCCTTCACTGTCATGTGACATGTACTCTTTTACTCCTC